ACAGACCTGACCCCCTGGCCAACACAATGTTCATGGAAGAAAAAGAAAGAAGAGTTTGGACTTGATATCCCGCCTTTCACTCCCCCAAAGCGGCTAACAATCTCCTCCCCCCCCCCCACAACAAACACTCTGTGAGGTGAGTGAAGCTGAGAGACTTCAGAGTAGTGTGACTAGCCCAAGGTTACCCTGCAGCTGCAGGTGGAGGAGCAGAGAAGTGAACCCGGTTCACCAGATTACCAGTCCACCGCTCTTATCCACTACATCACACTGGATGGGAAACTTGGAGTCCTCTACCTATTTATTGCACTCCAGCTCCCACCTATTGTTGATCTGCCTGGATTCACATACAATCAGTCAGGCTTTGCCTGAGCCTGCTCCTGTCCAGTCTCTGTTCCAGACTTGGCCCTGCCAGGAGGGACAATTTTTATATATATATATTTTTAAAAAAGATTAACTCTTGCCAGTTCAAGTCCAGACATTAGCATCAGTTTATACAGATGCACTAGCCTTAGCTCAGAAACCATTCCATTCTCTTGAATGCAACACACTCTTAATGTTCTGTCTACACATCTTGTTTCACATTGGAAAAACTGAGTTGTGCTTCAGTCTGTGTGTAGGCAGGATTTGCATGTCCCTTATACCTTTAGGTAGTCCTCTCCTCTCTCTTTTTCTTGTTTACTCCTCTATCAAAACTTGAACTACTATAGAATGTACCCACAGTTGTTCAGCAAGCTACAATCAGTTCCCACTCCCCAGCCCTTCATGCAAAAATCAGAGAGTCCTGGGGATAAAGGAGAAATTCTCCCTCATCACATGCTTAAGTTGAAGTGATATATTTTTATCCTTCGCTGGATTTAAAAACCTGATATCTCAAAAAGCTGCAGCAATTGCCTGCTTTGCTTCAGCACAGACAAGATGCTTTCGAAATGTGCACCAGACTGCTAGTTCTTAGCATCAATACGGCTACTTGGAAATACAAACCATTTGATTTCCCTGGACATTGGGTGTTTGCAGAGAGTGCTAGGTTTTGTGTGTCGCTGCTGGGATTGCACAGCAGCTACAAGCTTCTGCAACAGACTTAGTTTGGTCAGCACCACAACACATTTGTTCCATTCACCTCTGCTGGCGTTTCTACTGCTGGCATATAAGAAAAACTTCAGCCAAAGGTAACTATCATTTGGTGTGCTGTTCATTTCAGGTGCTGGGAAACCAATGAATTACATAGAACGAAAAACATACTTTTCCATATATTTTATTTTCCTCCAGTACTTCTAAACTGCACTTTCATATAAAATGTCACAAGGTGGTATACAGCTTAAAACATAAAATTACAATAAAAACATCAAACACATCAGTAAGAGCTGGTTGGCAGAGAATCTCAAGTTTGAAAGGCCTGCCAGAATAACACAGTTTTAATACTCCGTGGGAATAATACTCCATCAGAAGACCTCAGATACTTAAAATTGCATAGCTGCAGATTTTTGTCCAGAAATGTTTTATTAGTACGAGCCTGATTCAGTCATGATGTTCACTTTTCCTATACATGGAGAGCATACTTAGCACATACTTTGCATTGAGCAGATTCTTCATAAGTTGTGTGGCCCAGGATTCAGACCTGCTGGTATTTGTGGATGAGTCTGCTAACATGGAGGTCAGAAATGACTGGCTGCAGGAAACATTCATGGAAAGAACCTCCAATATCATTGCTTCACCAGAGGCTCCCTGGGAGGAAAGACCCATTAGCTAGAGCTGCAGAGCTAGAGGAGTTAACCTTCCTCGTGACTCAGAGAACCCCTCCTCAGACATCTCTATAGTGTTCAAGGCAACCTCTGCACTAACCATCCAATTCCAGCTGGAACGACCTAGCTGCTCTGGAGAAATAGAATGTGAGAAATAGAACAGGCCTCCTTTAAGTCCCCAGACTTTTTTTCTTGGGGTGCCAAGCTTGATACACTAACCGGATTGCAGGCCTACAGTAAGCCTGCAACGTACACTCACTTTTCTTATGTGATTGCAACCTTACAAAGGCAATTGAAAAAATCAATAAAGAAATCAGAAAAACACAGGGAGAATCCAAATATGTGGTAGGAAAAGAGTGGTAGGGAGAGTGGGAAACAGCAGTTAGCAATCCCAGCAGCCATTGCACTCACCCTGGGAGTGTTTAGGCGTTGTCAGAGAGCTGGAGATTTAGAGAGAGAAATAGGGCCTAGCAAGAGCACAGAGAGCAAGTGGAGGTGGTCTGAGAACTTAGGCGAGCAGCTTGCAGGTTAAGGGGCCTTCCTGGCTTTATGCATTTTGCTTTTGCAGTTCCTGGGAACTGAACCCTTGCTTAAGTTGTGGACTTACTATACAGTACTTAAACCCACAGGCTGTTGCTGGAGGAACTTTCCATACTCACTGCTCTGGATCGCCTTGTATTCTGACCTGATTCTGTTAGATGAGCTTTGCGGTGAGCTGACCATGGTGCTGATCTCTAGCAAACTCATCTGCTCTCCTAGACGGCACCTCCTTGGGGACTATGCCTGGGACAGTACAGTGGTACCTCAGGTTACATACGCTTCAGGTTACATGCACTTCAGGTTACAGACTCCGCTAACCCAGAAATAGTGCTTCAGGTTAAGAACTTTGCTTCAGGATAAGAACAGAAATCGTGCTCCGGCGGCGCAGCAGCAGCAGGAGGCCCCATTAGCTAAAGTGGTGCTTCAAGTTAAGAACAGTTTCAGGTTAAGTATGGACCTCCGGAACGAATTAAGTACTTAACCTGTATATTTATATATACAGTGGTACCTTGGGTTAAGAACTTAATTCGTTCTGGAGGTCTGTTCTTAACCTAAAACTGTTCTTAACCTGAAGCACCACTTTAGCTAATGGGGCCTCCTGCTGCCGCTGTGCCGCCGCTGCACAATTTCTGTTCTCATCCTTAAGCAAAGCTCTTAACCCGAGGTAATATTTCTGGGTTAGCGGAGTCTGTAACCTGAAGTGTATGTAACCAGAGGTACCACTGTACTACTCAGCAGGGTTTGGCCATGGGATATATAATAATAGTGTGCACAAAACAGAATTAATACGGCATTCAACTGCACTTCAGTATGTATGAAATAATAAAGGGTGAAACATGAGGGGAATTGTGGAGAACAACATAGCTGAAACCAGTTGACAGGTAGAATGGAATGTTACCCAGTTGTAGCTAGAACAGCAGGAGGTTTGTCTAGATACCAACTTATTACTTGCCTTGCATTCTTTCTCATTTTAATCTGTGTGCACATATCAATTTAAGGCCACTTTTAAGGCTTTTCCTTTTTGAGAGACAGTGCGGTGTAGTGATCAGAGTGTTGGACCATGGAAGATCATGGTTCAGATCCCCACTCAGCCATGAAGTTCAGTGGGTGATCTTCTTGGGCCAGCCACTGCCTTTCAGCCTAACCTACCTCACAGGGTTGTTGTGGAGATTAACTGAGGAGGGGGAGAACCATGTACGCCACCTAGAGTTCCTTGGAGAAAAAGTGGGCTATATATGCAATAAACGAATAAGGCAATTGAGAAGGTTGTGGTGGAACAGCTGCAAGCATTCCTGGATGAGATTGATTAACTGGATCCTTTTCAGTCTGGTTTCAAGCCTGGGTTTGGGATCAAATCAGCTTTGGTTGCCCTGACAGATGTACTTTATAGAGAGGAGGACAGAAGAAGCACAATGCTGCTCCTTCTTGATCTCTGTGTCTTTTCATACCATTGGCCATGGTATCCTTCTGGATGGTGTGGGATGTATGGTGGCTCTGCTACTTCTTTCAGGGCCGTGAGCAAAGGGTAGCACTGGGAGAGTTGCTCTTTGGCCTCTGGTGTTTACGCTAATAAGGGCCACAAGGAAATATTCCATCCCCAGTGCTGTTTAGCATCCTTATGAAGCCATTGGGAGTGTTCACTGGGAGTTTCAAAGTGAAGTGTTAACAATATGCTAATGATACCCAACTCTGTTACATCTGAGTCAGACTATTGGACTGGTACATGAAGGCAGTGTGTTGGACTAGATGAGGATCCATAAACTGAGTTTGAAGCCTGGAAAGGTGGAGGCCTCCTTGTGCAGGGTGATTCTCATGTCCAGGAGAAAGGTCAATGGCCTGTGTGTGATGGGGTTGCGTTCCTTCAGAGGTCCACAGCTTAGGGCAAACTCCTTGATCCATCTTTGTCACCAGAGGCCCAGATATGCTCTGTGGCCAGTAGTGTCTTCTGATATACCAGCTGTGACCATTCTTAGACTTCAATAGTTGGACCACAGTAGTCCATGTATTGTTAACCTCATGACTTGGTTACTGTAACATGCTTCACGAGGGGCTGCACTTGCATCTCATCCAGAAGCAGCAGCAAGTGAAGAATGCAGTGAACTGACTGCTCACAGGCACAGATTACTGGCAACATGTTACTCCACTGCCGAAAGAGCTGCTCCAGTTCCCAACTTGCTATGAGGTTCAGGTTCAAGGTTCTTGTGTTAAGCAACCTGAGCCAAAAATACCTTAAGGATTGTCTGAATCCTTAACCACTGAGATCCTCTGATAAAGCACTTCTGGTGCTTCTGAAATTTGCTAAGAACAGAAACCTTTTGTGTGGCAGGTCCTACTCAGTGGAACTCCCTGCCACTAGAGGTTCAACATGTTTTTATCTTTGTAAACTGCGGAGAAGCCTATCTTGGCATTAAGCAGTTCATGGATTCATAAATAATAATTCACACGGGAGGGGGGGAGATAACCTGCCTCTCTCCCTCTGGGACCCCAAGCAGCTGTCCACCCCCTCCAGTCCTGCAGTCCTGGGCTTCTTAATCTTGGATCCTCCATCCCTATCCCTTTAATACCATATACTGCACAGCCCAGAAGCAGGGAAAGGGCTGGCCTGCAGGCAGGCTTCCCTGTGCATGCCTGACCAAGCCACAGAGTGCTGGCCCACCTCTGTATTTTTATTGCAGTTTATAGTAACTTAAATTGATGGTTTTCTTGTAGATTTTTTTTATTAAATTTGTGCTTTTTAAAAAGTTGTATACCACTTAGAGATTTACATATTGAGCAGTATAGAAATTGTTGGTGTTCGCATCCATCTGTCTCGAGAGACCTGGTTTTCAGTTAATCAGTAAGTTCATGATAAAGAGTGGGATGGGGAACCTCGGGTTCACGAGCAAAATTAGGTCCACCAGGCCTCAAAGTGTGACTACAGGTGTGGGGCAGATAGAATAATAGAATCGTAGAGTTGGAAGGGACCACAGGGGTCATTTAGTCCAACCTCTAGAAGTGCAGGAATCCTTTGCCCCATGTGGGGCTCAAACCCACAGCCCTGAGTTTAAATCTTGTGCTCTACCGACTGAGCCAACTCTTGAGATATTAAGTGAGGCTTGGCCAAAAAGCACTTTGTAGGTTAATGTTTCCTCTCCAATAAAAGGATGTGGGCATGAGAAGAAATTGGCATAGCTCATTACATATAGTGTCGTATGTTACTTCCCAGGGGAGACCATTCCATGGTGCTCAGAAACATTATCTTCCACACAGCATTAGCAAGGGAAATCAGGTAATCCCAATAATAAAATGTTGCTTCTTTGTGCTGGGAAAACACAATCTCTTCACCAAGTAAGTGCTTCAAGAAAGAAGTCTGAATGCCCTGTGACAATTGAGCATTTATTGTGATATAAGGAGCCCCCCCCTCGCTTACTGCTGCCTGGAGAAGAGGTTCCGGAAAGCATTGTTGTAGTTCTTGTTGAAGGCCGTATAGATCAGAGGGTTGAAGAAAGAATTGGAATAGCCGAGCCAAAGGAAAATGCTTTTCCAGAGCGGGGGTATGTCACAGGAACAGAGGGGATTGATGAGTTCTGTGATAAAAAAGGGAATCCAGCACAGCACAAATACCCCGATGAGGATGCCCACCATAAGGGCAGCTCTCTTCTCTTTCTGCTCCCTCCACGTGTCTCCATCCGTCTGGAAGGTGACTGTGGCGTGCCGGGCGGTGAACACCATCTGCGGCTGCTGGGAGACTTCCTTCACCTGCCAAAGACAAACATAATCTTCAGACGCATGTGTGTGTGTGTTTGTTTTGCTGGCCGGCCTGCCACCTGCCAGTTGCCAAACACGAAATCCTGTGTGCTGCATGCTAATTTGCAAGATGATGCCCAGCAGAGGTTTGCCTGGAGTTTTGCAGTGAGGTGAGAGTTCCAAGCATGTGCGTGCACACAGCTGAACACCTCCTATGCATACCCTCAATTTGGGGGGGCAATATATAGTGGTCACAGCCTCAATTTGGCTTGCACTCCTGGAACAGCCACCTTTCCACCCCCCTCTTACCTAAAAAGACACCACACCTTACCTTACAGAAGGTGGTGGAGGACGTGGGGAGCCCCCCTACAGCTACCCAGAGCACCATCTTTTACTGCTGGGGGGCCCCTTTTGCCCTGGGAGAAGAGGGAGAGCCGAACACTCAAAAGACCTCAAGTACTTTCATGGACTGCAAGAAGATCAAACCTATCCATTCTGAAGGAAATCAGCCCTGAGTGCTCACTGGAAGGACAGATCCTGAAGCTGAGGCTCCAATACTTTGGCCACCTCATGAGAAGAGAAGACTCCCTGGAAAAGACCCTGATGTTGGGAAAGATGGAGGGCACAAGGAGAAGGGGATGACAGAGGACGAGATGGCTGGACAGTGTTCTTGAAGCTACCAGCATGAGTTTGACCAAACTGCGAGAGGCAGTGGAAGACAGGAGTGCCTGGCGTGCTCTGGTCCATGGGGTCACGGAGAGTCAGACACGACTAAACGACAACAACTTTCAGGGCAAAGGGTTGGAAGGCCACCGGCTATCCAGAGCAGTTGTCCACCTTTGACTACCTCTAGTTCACACCACAACGCAAAAGCTAACCAGCGGAGAGTAATGCAACACCCCAGTGGAATGGGGCGACTTTTCCCCCCCCATCAATCACTGTCACTGCTGGGAAAGGCCAGGGGCTGCAGGCAGTCCAGCTGCCAAAATGAGAAGTCCACACTCCCTGTTGACAAGATCCCTGGTCCACAGGGAGATGTTTTCTACCAAGTCAGCTCATCTAACAGTATTGGTGACACTGACTGGCAGAAGCTATCTGAGGGTCAGATGGGGGTCTTAGCCCTACCTGGAGATGCCAGAGATTAAACCTCATACCCTATGTATGCAAAAGATGGGCTCTACAACTAAGATACAGATTCCCTTCCCTGGGTGACTAGTGCCCTCTGAAAACAAGTTTTTACCCTGCCCCTCTCATTTGATGGACTGTACATGGATCATGGATCACAGCCTGGTTGTGGCAAAGGTGCTTGAATAACTCAGAGAAGCTGTGAGATATGCCGTGCAGGGCCACCCAAGACGGACAGGTCATAGCTGAGAGTTTAGACTAAATGTGATCCACCTGGAGAAGGAACCGGCAATCCACTCCAGTATCGCTGCCAAGAAAGCTCCATGGACAGTAACAACAGGCATATAAAAGTCAAGTGCCTGGCGTGCTCTGGTCCATGGGGTCCTGAAGACTCGGACACAACTAATCAACTAAACAACAACACTAAAGTTACATCACTGGTAGATTGTATTTTCCCCCACCTATAAGATTTCCAACGTTTTATTTTTGCCCCCCAATGTATTTTTCGTATTGATGCATTATGTTGTGACTGCAGCAACCTCATGCTTTTCTATAACGCTATAAACCCCTGTGCATTAGATAAACAAGCAGCATCTATGGCTAGAGGCATGTACTTAGCAGATCCCTTATACTGAGAATATCTCTGGTGTGACTGCAGTTGGAATACTGTGGGTCGTTCTGGTCGCCTCACCTCAAAAAGGATATGGCAGAGTTGGAAAAGGTTCAGAAAGGGGCAACTGAAATGATCAAAGGATGGAGCAGCTCCCCCTACAAAGAAAGGCTGCCACATTTGGGACTTTTCAGTTTAGAGAAAAGGCAAGAGTAGGAGGTGGTGTGTTTGTGGAAGTTTATAAAATCATGAATGGGATGAGAAAGTGGATAGGGAAAGTTTTTCTGCCTCCCTCATAACACTAGGACTTCCAATTAAGCTGAATGTCAGAATATTCAGGACAGATAAAAGGAAGTATCCATTCATGCAACACATAATTAAAACTAGGGAACTTGCTCCCACAGGAAGCCGCAATGGCCATCAACTTGAATGGCTTTCAAAGGGAATTAGACAAATTCATGGAGCGTAAAGCTATCCATAAGGGACGCGGGTGGCGCTGTGGGTTAAACCACAGAGCCTAGGACTTGCCGATCAGAAGGTCAGCGGTTCGAATCCCAGCGACGGGGTGAGCTCCCGTTGCTCGGTCCCTGTTTGAAAGCACCAAGTGCAAGTAGATAAATAGGTACCGCTCCGGCGGAAAGGTAAACGGCATTTCCGTGCGCTGCTCTGGTTCACCAGAAGCGGCTTAGTCATGCTGGCCACATGACCCAGAAGCTGCCAATAAAGCGAGATGAGCGCCACAACCCCAGAGTCGTCCACAGCTGGACTTAATGGTCAGGGGTCCCTTTACCTTTAAAGCTATCTATGGCTACTAGCCATGCTGGCTAAGCTCTTATGCTAAGGTCCTGATGAAGGTTTCCCATGGACATCTAGCCAGCCACTGGGAGAATACAGTGGTGCCCCACAAGACGAATGCCTCGCAAGACGAAAAACTCGCTAGACGAAGGGGTTTTGTGTTTTTTGAGTCGTTCCGCAAGACAAATTTCCCTATGGGCTTGCTTCGCAAGACGAAACGTCTTGCGAGTTCTTGCGAGTTTGTTTCCTTTTTCTTAAAGCCGCTAAGCCGTTAATAGCCACTAAGCCGCTAAGCCGCTAATAGCCGTGCTTCGCAAGACGAAAAAACCGCAAGACGAAGAGACTCGCAGACGGATTAATTTCGTCTTGCCAGGCACCACTGTAAGATGCAGAGCTAGATGGGCCATTGCAAGATCCAGTAGATTCTTCTTATGTTCCTCAGCATCCACTGATTCCGCAAAGCCTTCCCCGCACCCCAATTTGTAGCTTCACCTGTTCTGTGCTTTCCGTCGTCTCCCCGGCCCCTCCGCTCCTCCAAGCCTGCCTGAGTTTTCATTTTGTTTTATCCTCTGGGCAGGGAGAATGTCAAGCCTTTGTGGTGTACGATGCCTAGCACAATAAAGATGCTAATTAAATGTTAAATAGGAGCTGCAGTATAATGTGCTGCTGGCCAGCCGGGGCTGAAGTTGTGAGATTAAAAAGCAGGAGGTGCCAGGTCCCAAAGGGTAGGTCACAGCTGCCTTGGTGTGGGTCGCTCCCCAAGTGTCATGTATTGTCAAGCTGCCAAATGTAGCTGTTGGCTGCAAGATGGTACTCAGGCATGGAAGGCTAAGGGGCCAGGGCTGCGGAGGATCAACAAATGGATTCTTAATAAAGACAAGATTCAATTGGGATGTTCTGCAGATGAACCAATTGTTAACTGGTGACTTATGGAGTTTATGCAGAGACACTGAAAGGAACCCTACATAAATGGGCTGGGTTTTAAAAAATTTTGCACTAAAATGAAAGTGTTAGCTTCTGTATAGCTCAGTTAACTGCCAAGGCTCATGGGAATGGAATATTTACATACAATATTTAGATATTGCCTTTCATTTTGGCCACATTCACACCATAGGTTTATAGCACTATGATGCCATTTTTAACAGTCATGGTTTCCTCCCCCCCCCAAAAAATAATAATTCTGGGAACTGTAGTTTGTTAAGGGTGCTATTCCCATCTCAGAGCTACTGTTCTCTCAGTGGTTTAACAATCAATCCCTCTTCATAGGGAATTATAGCTCTAGGAGTGAAATAAATTCCTTGAGCTGAAGGAATTGGTGGCAAAATTTGCAAAGGAGGAGGCATGCAAAGTGAGATGTTGATGTGCCTGGAATTGAAACTTTAAAGAGATGTAAATTTTGACATCACAATTCACAAGATTATTCAAAATGATTCGGGTGCTGAAACATTTTTTTTAAAATTGCATTTGAGAAAGGCAACCAAAGATGGTTGTGTTACTTATTCTTGCAATTTAAAGTAGATGTGGCGGTTTCGAGTTTTGTGCTGTTCACTTTTTCTGCAAGACACCTGCTTTTGAAAACTGAAGTTAGCAGTTGGCAGGCGGGTGAGCAAGCAGTTAGCCTTGCCAAGGGCTCAAAGTAGCCTGGCACCATGCAAAGGTCCCTGGTTCAATTCCTCCCATCTCCAGGTAGCACAGGTGCCAACTTGGATAAAATATTGTGGGGACCCAGGTAAGCCCCACTCTGCATAACCGATCACATGACTCAGTCACACACCCCATTTGAATGGGAATGCCCATAACCTTTGTGGGGGCCCAGCCCCCTCAAATATTTTATTCTGGGGGCCGAAGCCATCACAGCACCTAGGAGTTGGCTCTTGTGCCAGGTAGTGTTAAGAAAGACTCCAGACTGAAAACCTGGAGAGCTTCTGCCAATCAGTGTAGGCAGCATAGACCTAGAGTCAGACCAGTGATCTGACTTAGAATCCATTTCATTTGTCTTTAAAATGTTCCCCCATTACCACATCTCTGTATCAATAAAAGGTTCTGTTTATACCTGCCAGCCTGTCTGACAACTGTTAAAGGCACACTAAGGTAAAGGTAAAGGGATTCCTGACCGTTAGGTCCAGTCGTGGCCGACTCTGGGGTTGCGGCGCTCATCTCGCTTTTTTGGCCGAGGGAGCCGGCGTACACCTTCCGGGTCATGTGGCCAGCAGGACTAAGCCGCTTCTGGAGAACCAGAGCAGCGCATGGAAACGCCATTTACCTTCCCGCCGGAGCAGTATCTATTTATCTACTTGCACTTTGACGTGCTTTCGAACTGCTAGGTTGGCAGGAGCTGGGACCGAGCAATGGGAGCTCACCCTGTCACATGGATTCGAACCGCCGACCTTCTGATCAGCAAGTCCTAGGCTCTGTGGTTTAACCGACAGCGTCACCCGCGTCCCTAAAGGCACACTATCCTTTCTGCAAAATGGTATCAGTTCTAGGATTAGTCTTTTTAGCAGCTATTCCCTACCCTTGCTATTTTCTTTTTCTTTTTAAGGCTGCTTATGTTTCTAGTCCATATGACACCCTAAAACAAACAAACAAGATTTTCAGTGAATGCTGTGTCCTAAATAAATGGAACCAATGACTTCTGAGGATACTGACGCTTATTTTCTGCCTTACAATTTCAAATTATTTTGTGTGGATAGTCTTATGATCCCAGACCTGTGTAAAAAGAAAAGCCTTTTGTGAGCTCTCCCTTGAGTGCTTTTAGGTAATGCACCCACAAGCAAATACAAAGGGCTTGAATTGTGTAGGTTCTCCTATGTGTGAAATGTATCTCAGTTTTCATCCTGTTTGCTTAATTAAGGGATTAATATGATATATGCATAGCAAACTCATTCTTCATGCATGGAACCTTATGAAACCAAAACTGCACACCCACACACAAGAAGGGAGGTATAAACAGGCTTAAAGAAACGGCAATGTTTGCAGAACTACAAGAAAGGTACCATATTTTGCATGGCTGGGGGAGAACTATGCAGGAGAGGGCAAAAAGCAGCTCATTGAGAACTGAGCAAGATCAGTGGATAAGGAATGCTGAATGGATAGTAGGTAGCAGATTGGAGAATGGAATGGAATGGAATAACAGGGCATGGCTTGTTGGCTGGCTAGAATCCTGAACAAAGCAGCACTGGTTCAGCCCTAAAGAGAAAAAGAACGAAAGCCCTGATTGATGTCAACAACACTGTTAAGATTAAACTTAAATATCTTTAGTGGAAGATAGCCCACTAAAGCCTATATGTGTCTTTTAATACTTGACACTTTCAAGTTTTCCAAGTGCTTCACAGATATTATCTTTGCAACAACCCTGTAAAGAAAACCAGGATTAATGCCTTCTTATTTCAGAATGAGCGAGAGGGGGGGAGGTGAAGAGAAGTAAGGCAGAGGGAACAATGACTACCTAAGGATGGCTACGGAGTTCCTGGCTGAGATGAAATATGAGCCAAGGGCTTGTGAGCTCACACATTCAGGCAGCAGACAGCAACAGCCATTGCATAAGATAAATAAATTCAGCAACTCGCTGTTAGCCACTGTGCTCAGGGCTCAAAGTGGTTGTTAGTCAAGGGCAGCCACAGACATTTGGGTGCCCAGCACAGAGCAGCAAACAGTGCCCCTCCCTGAGTCAAGGTGTACAGTACACAAGGCCACCAGAAAAGTCCACAAGCGCCTCTCCCCAGTACTAAAAACACAACAACAGTAATAAATTACTGACAGCCACTTCACCCTGCCTAACAGAAGGTCTGCTGTGTGAATGTGCTGCCCAATTCTAGAGCAGACAGCAGCACCTGATGAAAAACTAACCTCCAGGGCTTCAGGTGTGATAGGAGTGATGGAGTTGCTCTTCCGGGATCCAATGCGAAACTTGGCTGCCTTGTAGATTTTCCAGTAGACAAAGAGCACCACGCAGAGGGGCAGGTAAAAAGCCCCAAAGGTAGAGAAGATGGTGTAAGAAGGTTCCTGGCTGACTTGGCATTCCTCGTTGCCCTCCGAATAAGTCTCCCCCCAGCCAAAGATCACCGGAGCCAGAGAGATGATGGCCGAGAGGATCCACGTCAGAGCAATCATAATGTTGGAGATGCGCCGGCGGGTCCTCAGGGTGTACTCTAGGTGGCGAGTGATGGACCAGTAGCGGTCCAGAGCGATGGCCGTGACGTTCCAGATGCTGGCCGTGCAGCACAGCACATCGCAGGAGATCCACACCTGGCACAGGATCCGCCCCAGCCTCCAGCGCCGCCCGGACAGTTCGTGGACCAGGCTGAGAGGCATCACCAAGGCAGCCACCATCACATCCGAGATGGCCATGGACGCCACCAGGTTGTGAGGAACCCTGTGGAAAGTGCGGACACGCAATATGGTCGCCAGGACCAGCACGTTCCAGAGGAAAGTGGCAATCACCAACATGGCCAACAGAGTCAAGACGAGGACGCTAAAGATAGACAAGGGTCCACGGGCACCAGGGTGGTCCAGGAGGGAGCTGGAGCCCGTCCGGTTGGATTCGGCTGATGTAGTGACTGAGAAGCAGGTGAAGTTGGGGCACCAATCCATTGTGCAAGGATGAGCAGTAGAAAGTTTCAGAAGGCAAAGTGGAGTGAAATGCTTCTTCTGGTTGTAAAAGGTGGTCTCCTTGTTAGCCCCCAGGTTATATAGTTAAGGAAAAACCATTGTTCATTGGGGGGGTGTTGCCAGGTTTTTTATTCAATCCACAGTTTATCAGTTAGGCTGTTGTGACTTATCCTGGCTTGTCACCTGAACTGGGATCTGTTTATGAAATCTTCATTGCCAGGAAATGCAGGATTTCCATTTTGGCTGCTGTCTTGCATTCCTTATTGTCACTTTTTAACTGGTATTTGTCATAGCTTTAATACTGCCTGGTTTGCAAACCTCCCCAGAGAATATCGACTGGTGGGTGGTGATATGCTTTTAATAAGTAATGATAATAGCAATAGTATTTCAGGCTCCAGAGCTCAGTCACACTCCTGGTTTGTGAAGCATCGATCCAGCAGGTGAAGGCCCGAGATACACACTAAGGAAATATTTGTGAGAGATTCCAAATTCTGTGTCGGAGTTTGCCGCATCTGTAAATTGACCAAAGAGAACCTGCATTAAGAATGATACACATTCCATTGGAGAATGCCAAGTCTTCTGCTTTTCTGAAGCATTTTTGCAGCGTTAGAAAGTTAACACATTGGTTGCAGGAAGTTTAGGGCAAAAGAGAAAGCAAGAGATAATGCCATTGCAGTGGAGGAAGGAGAAGAAAAAACCCTTACAAATACCAACAGTTCTGACTTTGTAGCCTCCCCTTCGCTTCTGTCTCCTTCTTTGAGAAATCTTAGATTTAATGTCATCTATTTTTGGTCAGGTCCATGCTTTACAGAAACAGATGTATTATACAATACGGGGGGGGGGGGAATCCTGATGTGCCTTTGCCACATTTGCCACGGAGAAATCAAAGCCTCCAAAAACAGAATTAAGGACCCAGTCTCCCCTCCGGGGTAGATGGCAGGGCTCTCCACACAAGCCTGAGCCCTATCGATTTTAATTCAGGTGCTAAACACAGACACCACCACTTTTGACATCTTTCTGAGAATGCAATAACCCCCCCCCCCAACTTGGAAACTTCTAAAGATCAGAGCCAATGATAGCTGCGGCCATCACAATTTAGACCAGGCTGACTATACTGTCTCTCTTTCCAGTGGGCATTTGTAATGCAACTGAGTATTCTGGCCAGTGCGAACGTTGCCCGTATATTGCATTATAAAGCAACCAAGGCAAGCTCTGTTGGGTGTGAAAATGCACTCTTAGGGATCCCTTTTGCATTTTCCGCAAAAGTAGCTGAAAGAGGATGTTGGCCACTGCTTTCGCCAAAGCACTCCACAGGGGAAGCTCAGCATTTGGAACATCTGCAACAGGAGATCACTTTGTCTGCCCTGGCTGGGGCTTGACAGGAGATGTCGTTTGAAACATCTGCAGGCACCAGGTTAGTGAAGACCAGGACTTTTCCCCCAGCTGTAACTCAATTCTGACACCTCTCAGGTGGGCGCCATTGCCATTCTAAGAGAACAAGGGAGGTGTTCATGGTGAGTTCCGGCACCTCTTTTTCTAGAAAAATAGCACTGCTGAAGACTACCCTACATAATGCCTGTGGGATCCTGGTGTGTTTGTGTGTGATCAGACAACCGCACCACGGGACAGAGATATGGGCTCACACAAGGGTGGTTGCACAAGCACACACAAAGAACAGACCAAAAAGCAAACGGCGAGTACGGACCCTCCAAAGAACTCTGCAAACATGAGGCTTCCCCCAACCCCCAGTGTGTCCCAGCCCCACCAGCACCTGAGAGACTCACCGTGGATTGAGAGTCCCTCGCGCTCATCGAACTGGCTACCTTCCATCGGATGAAGGTATCTTGCCACTGCCACAATAAATCTGCTAAAGCTGAACGCTGTTGTGCGCCCTTGCTCTGCTCCACGGGGCTGCAGCCTTATCGTGCAGTCCTAAGCACGCTTCCTCGGAAGGAAGCCCCCTCGAGGGTGTTTAGGATGCCGCTGTTCACTCAGCAAGCCCCGAGGAATTCGATGGCACTTGCTGCCAGACAACAGCCTGAAGTCGGAGAGGCGCAACGAGACTTTCTTTTTTTTAAGGCAGCGATTCCAGGAAGGAAGACCCCGCTGGATTCAACGGGGCTCGCTTCCCGGAAGGAACACAGGATCGTGCGAGCCTGAAAGCCGCGTTGAATTCGGTGGGACCTCCCTACCGTGTGTTTTTGTGTTCACACACAGGCTAGCGCTACAACGCGGGTCTCTCTCTGCGCCCTTCCCCCCTCGCAACGCTTTATTTGGGAAACCGCGCCCGATCCACGCGATGGCAATACCTGCGGGGCGCCTGCTCTGCGGCTCCAGCGGATGCGCTGCAGCAGCAAAGGGAAGCCGCCCTCCTCCTCCTCCTCCTTCTCTTCCTCTGAGTCCGCTGTCTCGCTCCTAAGCCGAGGCGCGCCCATCAGCTGACGGCGCCCGCTCGGCTCCCCAAGGGCTCCGCGCGGTCAGGAGGGCGCCTGGTCCCCGGAGGGGCTCCCTTCACCCGCGCATCGCGCGCCTTCGCGCCTGCCTCCTCTCCGACCTTCCTGTTCCAGGCAGAGAGAAAAGTCTCCCCAGCCACGCCGAAGCTCTGCGAGCGCCGTCCCTCTCCACTCCCACGGCGTTGGTTTTTCCGGGGCGGGGGAGCCTCGCAGGCGCTCGCTAGGATGCGCCGCAACACTTTGGCCCTGGGAGCCGCCGGCTTTGCGCCAAGGAATAGCAATCTTCAGGTATCCAAAGGGCTCTCCTAGAGAAGATCAGCAAGCTTGTTTTCTCCTCTTCCGGAGAAACAATGGCTTCAAGTTGCAGGAAAGAAGATTCCTGCTAGACATACGGAAAAACTTTCTGACAGTAAGAACAGCCAGCGGTGCTCAACCTGTGGGTCCCCAGATGTTGTTGGACTACAACTCCCACCATCCCTGTGTTCTGGCCTTGTTAGCTAGGGGTGATGGGAGTTGTAGTTCAACAACATCTGGGGACCCACAGGTTGAGAAAGGCTGAACAGTGGAGCGGACTTCCTCGGGAGGTGGTGGACTGCCTCTTGGAGGTTTCTTAGCAGACGTTGGATGTTCATCAGTCATGGGTGCCTTAGTTGAGATTCCTGCATTGCAGGGGTGGACTAGATGGCTCTTGGGTCCCTTTCAACTCTACGATTCTATGATTCTAAGTCAGACTGCTCAGTATTATCTGGCCAGACGCATCTCCAAGGTTTCAGAGGAGAAGCTTTCTAAGCCCTACCTGGAAATGTGCAGGGGTGGGGAATTTGAACCTGGGGCCTTCTGCCTGCAACCCAGGTGCTCTGCCTCTCAGCTATAGCCCTTCTCCAAGAGTTAGGGCTTTCAGGCTTCCCTCCCTCTTTTTGCACACATTAAAACACATACCCGTTGCAATACAACAGTTCTGCAAACAACATCACAAAAGCAAAGAGAAATTGATGGAATGATGAAACTCCACAGAGGGGAAAGGCCCAAGAAAAATTAAGGGTTCTTGCCTGGTGCTGGAAAGAGAATGTTGTCTGGGAGAGATCTGCCATCTCCAAGAAGGGCTTCCACAAATGGGTTGCCATATCAGAAAGTGCCCTGTCCCCAGTCATCACCAACTTCACTTCCACTGTTGATGGTGGGGCAGTCAGAGAAGACACAGGAAGCTGCATTGTTCTGAGGTTTTTTTGGGTTAGGCTGAATGCCCAGGCCCTTTGACGTGCTTTCGAACTGCTAGGTTGGCAGGAGCAGGGACTGAGCAACGGGAGCTCACCCTGTCATGGGGATTCGAACCACCGACCTTCTAATTGGCAAGCCCTAGGCTCTGTGGTTTAGACCACAGTGCCACCTGCGTCCCTCAAAGGCAATAGCAGTAGGAGTAATATTAATAATATATAGGCTGCTTAACACCCAGATGGCTTCTAAGCAGTTTAGAAAACATAGAAACCAATTAATTGCACAACATGATCAACAGCACTGGCCATCAGTTCCCCATCTGGCTTTCTGGGTCAAGGCTCAGAGCTGACTGTGGAAAATGGTGAGACCATTGCCCCTGAGATGGTTGCACAAGAACTCCCAGAGGAACCTTCCAGACCACCAGAGCCTGGATTCTCACAGATCTGGAAGACCCAGATGCCTCCCACTATACATCATCAATCCAGGAATATACCAGGAGGCTATGGAATGAAGCTGGAGTGTCCATTTTTGGGCCAGAAGGTTGCCCTTTAAGGCTCTGTAGTTCTCTCAAGGTGATGAAGCTTGAAGAAGGTAGTCCGGAGACAGAGGCATAGAACCTCTGTCTGCCCCCAACCTCTGTTGGAGCAAATTGGTCACTTGGAGCTGCCTGTGGTTCATCAGGCCAGAATATGACACCTGCAAGCCTGTCCTCCAGTTGCTGGTACTGGATTGCAGTGTCTGGATTGGCGAGTTCCTTGTTGTTCTCACACCACTGGCAGGAGCACAATGAATCAAGCAAAGTAAACCTGACAGATGCAGATTGTTTAATTTGCATAATTTATACAGGCTAGAAAAGTTCGCTCTGTAGTTTTGATTTTCTAGCACATACAGGACAATGGTCTTACCTTTTGAGAAAATAAATGATATGCTGTTCAGAACCTAGCTATTTTCTAAAATGCTGACTATAAGGTTTTGAAGCACAGCAATTCATATCAGGCTATGTGATGCTGTAAATGTTTTGCCCTGTGCAAGATTAATATTTGGGTTTAGGGGAGGGAAATGACGACGACGACAATGATGATGATGATGATGATTGGGATTGTTTTTATCAGTGCTTTGTGATTTGTTGAGTTTAGATTGCTTCAAGGGTTCTGGAACATATTATAAACACATTTGATAAAACAAACGATCCTTGAATCAAGAAGGCTGAAAAATGCAGTGAGAAATTATTGTCTGCTAGGATTTGGTATCTAAAAAGTCATACACAATTTTTATTTTATTTTATTTTTGGTAAAGCGATGCTGTCAGAACCAACTGTGGAATCTGCCAAGGAGACAGATGGCCTTAATGACAGAAAACTGATGGCACTCTAAAACTCAATTACCATTGATTTGGGGGAGCCTTTCTTCTTAATGCCAAGATGTGGGACTGATTTGTTTATTGCCAGGTTTTTGGCACCTTGGAGGACAACTGGCAACAGAGCCAGTAAACAATTGACATCATGGAAAATGATTAACTTGAGAAGATCAAAGGGAGAGGCAGCTATACAGGTGCTTTGATGGCCTCATTATCAGTCGTCCTTACAATGCTTTGAACTCAGCTCTTTCATGGGCCTAGTTTGACATCTATTTTATGCCAGCAGAAGCTTTTCTTTTCCTCCACTTTTCTTCATAGTGAGAATTGTGTGCTTAGACTTTAGAAAGAATTTTGTAGAACTATTTCTCCAGTTGCTTCAAGTGTATTATAATCATTACATTCCAATCCCATCCCATCCACCCCCATCCTTCCAGGAACTCACAAGGAATTTCATGGCAACCTTGTGCCATAGGTTAGGCTGAGAGAGTCCAAAGGAGAGATGACTGAAGAGCTTATTCAATACCATATGCATTGTGTATGTATCTTTTACATTGAAATGTGTATTTTTGTGTGCACAAAACATGCATGGCAACATCTAGAGAAGTACATGACTTGGAGTTGCATTCCAATCTGCAAGCAAGTCAGCAAGCATAGGATTGGGTGTGTTGGTCCACTGCAAAAAAATAAAAATAAAATAAAAATACACAGACCAGGGTTGGTTCATAGGGAATCTGAAGGTTTATAAGGTAGCAGAATTGCTCTCCATCTTTGGAATGGATGTGATGACATAAAAGATGCTGGAAATATTACGGGCAAGTAATTTCATGTTTTCTTTGGAGGGTGGGGGTGGTAAAAGTTATCAAAATATGTTGTCAGGTTATGAAATGTCTTATTCAACTTGATCCTGTGTTCTTCTTACAGGAATTGCTTTCACTGACTGGGAGGTAAACCCCATTTATTTCTGTACTACTGATTTTGTTTCATATATTGTATTTTGTGATTTTTGTTTGTTTAACAAAGGGCTGAATCCAGACTAGGTTTGTCACACTTCAGTCCCATTGAGCCTGCAATCCTATACACAATGTCCCTATACACAAAGTCTCACTCCTTCTCTGCAGGCATGTGTAGGATTGCAGTGTGAAGCATGACTAACTTAGTTGGGATGCAACCCACAGAATAGAGCATGCCACACAGAGCAAGTCAAACTTGCTCAGTGATTGACAGAGGTTTCCAGAGTGCAAATTGACATTATGCATACTGGTAGCATTGAACATATGTATACACTCTGACGCTAAGAACATAATTGTGGCTATGGGAGATCTAGTGCTTATATAACAAAGAGCCTTGTGGCACCTTCAAAAAGCATAGATTCGTTGTACTGTAGAGCATTTTTTTAATGGCTGTGGGGGAAATGGCATTGTCTTTGCAGGGGAAAAAAGCAGAACTATTAGCAGCTTAAAATGCGGGGATGTCGTTTTCCTCCTGCTGTGTTTCAAATGGCATTTGCATTTGCTGCACACACAGAGGGGATGGGTCTGTCTTCCCCCAATGGGCATTATCTGATTTATTTCCCCATGCTGGCAACCCTTCCATCTCCCACTTCAGGAAGCTGTGATCTGTACATGCACTGTCGACTGTGCATTTGGACTCTCCACCATTGGAGGTTCTTAAGCAGAGGTCGGATGGTAGTCTGCATGGATGCTTTAGTTGAGATTCCTGCATTACAGGGGTTTGGACTAGAATCAGGGGTCAGCAAACTTTTTCAGCAGGGGGCCGGTCCACTGTCCCTCAGACCTTGTGGGGGGCCGGACTATATTTGAAAATAATAATAATGAACGCATTCCTATGCCCCACAAATAACCCAGAGATGCGTTTTAAATAAAAGGACACATTCTACTCATGGAAAAACACAGATTCCTGGACCGTCCGCAGGCCGGATTGAGAAGGCAATTGGGCATGATCTGGCCCCCGGGCCTTAGTTTGCCTACCCATGGACTAGATTCTCCAGTTCTGTGTGCAAAGGCAGTTTGAGCTGCATGCACTTCAGGTTAACTGCAGCTTGTGTTTTCCAGTGGGATGGAAGCTGGTTCAAGGCAACAGACAGGAGTATTACTCCAGGATACATATGGATTAAATGTCCTGTGCACTTGGCTTCAGACACCAGCTGTGGGAGCCCATTGGGGGCAACCATAATGTTTGTATACTCAGGTTTTCTACACGCACTTGGAAGCATAGCCAAAGAAAACGCTTCACCTGCCATCCTTCCTGAGCAGGTTAAATCAGTTCTGAAACCATCCTGGAGGGAACTGTAATTACACCCGTGAGCCGCTAAGTGAGTTAGCCTAGCTTGGAAGTGAAGACGCAGGCAAGCGCCAGTGTGTCTAATAAAATGCAAATCTCATTTTCTGTTTGTTGCGTGCGCTGTGAGATAACTGCTTTTGAAGAGTATAAAAAAATGTGATTTAATTCACGGGCATTTAAAATACAACAAGGCCAGCCAGGTCTTGCTACGCAGCAGCCTGGGGGCCAGAGAGGGGCAGCAACGTGTGCGTGCAGAGGGGCCAGAATGGAGGCAGGAAAGGAGAAGAAAAGGGCGCAGCAAGATGACAGGGAAATATAATGGAGCACAAGGCTGCATTAAAGCATTTCTTTTCCAGTCCTTCCATGCACTGGGAGGCAAACAGTGAGTGTTTGACACCCAGAGGGAAGATCATTACGGCAGTTGCATATTCAATCAAATGTCACACTCAAGGGTCTGGCTTCTTGCTTCCTGCTGCCACAGCAGTAGTAATTTATGCTGCACCTTAGCTTCTTCCAACCCTCTGGGCAGCATCATAACACGGAACAAGAGACAGCGACGGCTCACCGCCTAGCATCCAAACCAAAGTGGACACACGGCTCTGATTCATCCCATCCCCACAGTGGCAAAATCTGATGTTTGTAGTGTTGGCCAGAGGCGGACTTTGTGTTCTCAAATTTCAGCGGTGCCCCGTGCAGTGCTAAAATGTGGTAAAGGTAAAGGGACCCCTGACCATTAGGTCCACTCGTGACCGACTCTGGGGTTGCAGCACTCATCTCGCTTTACTGGCCGAGGGAGCCGGCGTACAGCTTCCGGATCATGTGGCCAGCATGACTAGGCCGCTTCTGGCAAACCAGAGCAGTGCACGGAAACGCCGTTTACCTTCCTGCCGGAGTGGTACCTATTTATCTACTTGCACTTTGACGTGCTTTCGAAATGCTAGGTTGGCAGGAGCAGGGACCGAGCAACGGGAGCTCACCCCGTCGCGAGGATTCGAACCTCCGACCTTCTGATCGGCAAGTCCTAGGCTCTGTGGTTTAACCCACAGTGCCACCTGGTCCCTCTAAAATGTGGTACCCACACTCCATTCTATAGCATTGTTGCGGCAGCCCCTTCAGCATGGCAGCTAGGACGGCTACACCAGTTGCGCTACCCTAAAACCGCCTCTGGTGTTGGCCTGTACCATTACAGGCTGCATGTAGGTGCGCAAATGTTTGGATGGTGAAATGTTGTTAAGGTCTTGGAAGAGCAATGTAGGTTGCTAGGGAGGGGTTTGGAAGCCAGGACCTTCAAGGCAGCTCTTTCTGAATGACTGGGTCTAGATGGCATCCTCAGAACGATTCTTAAAGAACCCAAACGCAAAACTGCTGATCTGAGTAGCTCAGTCAGTACAGCCTGAGTCTCTTGATCTTGGGGTTGTGGGTTCATGTTGCGCAAAAGATTCCTGCATTGCAAGGGGTTGGGCCTCATGGTCCCTCCCAGCTCTACGGTTCTATGGTTCTAACAAAGATATGTAACTTTCTCCCAAAGTCTGCCTCCATACATTGGCTGCTTTCCTGTCCTCAGGTGACACCAATTTTTAAAAGGATATCTGGGATGACCCAGAAAATGGCCGGCTGGTTAGTTTAATATCTGTTCCAGAAAAATTGGAGGAAAGCATAATTGCCAAACATATAGAATAACAGGGCTGTGCACAGACTAACCTTTCTGTTATGTACTGAGTTAAATAGGATCCAAAATGCAGCAGTCTGATTGGTCCTAGAACAATAGGATTCAGAATGCAGCAGTCTGATTGGTCCACAGGAGCCACCCAATCCAGCTCCAGGTGGAAGTAAATCCACAACCTGACTGGCCTACAGGTGAATCCCAGAATTAGTGAATCATGTGGGGCCCATTGTATAAATAATGTATATAAAGCAGATATTCTGGGGGAACTTCCATTCCTCCTCACCACTATGAGCTGAATAAAGAGCATGAAATCCACTCTTGACTCTGAGTATATTTCACTTTCTGTAGCAAAAAAAAATGTACGGTAGTTTTTTCTTAGTATGCAGTATGCAGTCGACATGCTATTTTCAATCTAGACTGATGCAATATCCTGCCATCCACCTGGGCAGGTGCGGCTAGATACATGTTTGAAAACTCTCCCCTTGGTTAGGTCACGTGTGTCTTTTCCTCCTTGCACAAGCCCAGGTGAATGAAGAAGGAAGAGGTGGTGACTGAGGTCTTGGTGTCTGCCTGCCCCCAGTGTCATTAGATAGGATGGCCTACACCTGTTTTCAATTGACACACTTCAGAGCTGTTAAGGAAATTACTCCTTTGCCAAGTTCCTCCATTCCAATGCCATTTTGCCCTTGGAAAAAGGACTCGTTCCCCTGCCACCTCCCCAAGCTTGAAGACATGTATACACACCTCATACCCAGAAAATTCCCAGAGGTGACAATTGCTGGGCTCATTGTTCTCCAAGGGATGCCAAATTTCATCACCAGACTTGCCTCAGGCTCCAAAGGAAGTTCTAGTGTACTTTTGGGTGGTGGGTACTTAAGACATGTTTGCCTATGCTAATCTTATACTTGGGTGTTGCCCTGACATATCTGTCTATGCTAATCTTGTTGTAACCCTCCCCTTTTGTGACATGTTAGTGATGTAGCAATGATGTACTGATGAGCATCTAAGCCAGGGGTCAGCAAACCTTTTCAGTAGGGGGCCGGTCCACTTTCCCTCAGACCTTGTGGGGGGCCAGACTATATTTGAGGGACGGTGGACCAGCCCACGGCTGAAAAAGTTTGCTGACCCCTGATCTAAGTCCACTGACTGCTGTTTTGCTCCAAATTGCTTGGCTGGAATTTCCTTCTTTTACTGACCGCATGGACCCGTGGGGGACTTGTACCCCAACAAGCTGGGCTGTTGAGTAGTCTCTCAACCCGGAATTTTCCTTAACAGAGCAATACAGAATTAATCTGCAGTAAGCTTTTATTTTTGGAATGAAACTATTTTCTCAGGGAGTGCTCCCCCTACTGTTGGTCTCTCTGCCTTCTGCCCTAGCAGTTCCAATGTGTGCCAACAGCCACGGTGAATTTCTATCACAATCCCATGTGCTTTTCTTTCTTCTAAACTAAAAACTCAGATATACTTTTACTGCTCTGAATGAGTCCAAAACACACACCACTGTTCATTTGCTAGTTCTTATAAAAGCAACTGAGGATCACATCCACTATTTCCACCCCAAAAATATATACTTGAAGTGCATCTAACCAGCAGAAATGCAAAATAAATGAAATCTTGCAAATTGCTGGAGCTTCCTTGCCTCTTCATTACTGCTAATGTGTGGAGATGATTAAAAGGGCTTATTCATGATGCCAAATCAATGCTTCTAATTTTTGTACCGAAAGCTAGCAGTTAATTAGGGACCGAAAGTGTTTGATATGCAAGTGAATAATGTTTTCTACCTACAAGATAATAAAAAGGACTTGTTCTTAAATAACCATCCTAATTAATGAAGCTAAAGCAAAAATTTGAAAAATCCAATTGTTGGCCTGTTAGGAACCAGCTGGGGTAGAGAAGACACATGCCCCTGTGGCAGCAGATTCAGAATATTTCTCTAAATGCTTATACTAACTAATAGTGGATTCTTACACTATTTGGTGGAGTGGAAGCCTTTGCCTGCCTGCTCTTTTCTGTTCTGCTGCTTCACACACTTCTGAGATAGCACGAGAGGCTCAGCATCACCCCATAAAAGCCCTCGTACCTACAGGACCGCCTCCCCTGGTATGCCCTACGGAGGACCTTACGGTCCGCAAATAATAACATTTTGGAGGTCCTGAGCCTCAAGGAGATTAGACTGGCCTCGGCAGGGCCAAGGCCTTTTTGGCTGTGGCCCCGGCCTGGTGGAACACTCTGTCACAAGAAACCAGGGCCCTGCGGGGTTTGACATCTTTCCTCAGCGCCTGCAAGACGGAGCTGTTCCGCAAGGCCTTTGGCCGGGGTTCAGTCTGACGCCCTCTCCCCTTTCATAAGAATTTGCATGAAAGTGGCCTCCCAGTTTTTCTCACAGGCCCATATAAGTTCAGCACAAACAGTTGGGCCTGGTGAGCATTTAAGGTCCCCAACCCTAATCTGTGGGTTGCCATCTAATTGGATTTTATTCTGATCCGGATCTGATTTTAGAATGTATTTTTAACTGATTGTCTGATTTTATGTTAATGTGTTATACATTTGATGTTAGCCGCTGCTCTGAGCCTGGTTTTGGCCAGGGAAGGCGGGGTATAAATGAATAATAATAATAATAATAATAATAATAAGATCAGGCATCCTGTTTTCATTGGCCAAACTGATGCCCACAAAGGACGTGAGAGCTAACAGTTCCCCACTTGCAATTCCCAGCAACTGGTATTCCATAGCTTCCAACTTTTCCCACTGCAAAACTGGGCACACGTCTTCAGGACGTGTTCCTGGGCAAGTAACATGACTCACGCTTCTCTCTCTTTCCCTGCCAGAGCCCCAAGAAAACCCCCTTCAGCCCTGCCCATTGTCTGCATGTGGTCCCTGACACAGGTTGCCTCTGAGAGAACAGAGAAAAGGTTGCCCATCTTTGTCCTATAAGAATCAAGTCTTAAGCAACAGTCCTAAGCGCACCAAGTTACTTTGGGAACCACACTGGTCGTTAAAAAAGAACACTGTTCCACTCAGTTTCTGCTTGAGGATTTCCCATTGGGGTTTTGGGTTGGTCACTGTGAAAACAGGATTCCAGACTAAATGGATCTTTGGCCTGATCCAAAAGGGCTTTCTTGTGTCCTTAAGTGGTTATGACTGGGCTAGGGGGCTTATGAGACATTTTTTTTTTTAACCCTTACTACTTAGTTGTAATCAATTTCTCATGTTTCTAAGCTGCCCTTCCTCCCAATAGCTCAGCGAGGCATTTTATGATCACAACACCCTTGCGAGGTAGGTAAGGAAGATAGCAATTCTTCCTAGTGAGCTTTGTAGCTTGCCAGCAGCATGCCAATGCTAAGCAAGCTTAGATTTTAAACGCATATTGTGATGAATCAGTGCAATGGATAAATAAATTGAATGAACAATATTTGGGTTGCAAATTCACAATATTCTTGATATTCAATGGTCACAGCTTTAACAAGCTTTCTAGTAGCAGATCTAGGAATCGTGCATATTGTGTCCAGCAGGAGGCAGCCGTGAACACACATCTACCCTGGAGAAAGAAAAATCGAAAGTTTTAAACTGGAATATTTTGTCCAATTTTGGTTGCTACATTTCCAGAAGGACATTGACAAAATGGGACAGTGTTCAGAGCAGCAGGAAGATGAGGGGTGTGAAAACCAAGTCCTATAAGGAATGGTTGGAAGACCTGGCTATACACAGTTTGAGGAAAAGGCACTGAAAGTTCCAAGCCGCTGGTCTATATACCCCTCCTTGTTAAATAAAATCAGAAAAATGAGTACAGCAAACTGTTGGAGGGAATGTGATCATTTTTGCTCTCCCCCCTTCCCCAATTTGTGGTGAGTCTGGCCCTTAGTTAGTCAATTTGTGGTAAATGTTTCTCAACAAGTGGAACAGATGGCAAGCCAAAAGTTTCAGTTAAATCCCCCAATCACTGTTCTTTTGCTATTTGAATTTTGAGGTCCGGGACTTGATCCACAAGGAACTTATTGTTCAACTTTTGACAGCAGACTGACTTACAACTGCAAAGCATTGCAGAACTCTGAACGCTGAACTGATGTGAGGCAGGCAGCAGCAACTGTGGAATGTGGTTCCTGTGGTCAAATCAACTCACTGGTTGTGTGGTGGTGGCAGCGGGGTATGCGTGTGTGTGTCAAAATGCAGACAACTTCTATGCCGCTTGGCTTCCCTTTATTAATTCTGCAGCAAGGAATGAAGATGGGTTGCAATCTCCATGAACCCGTGGGCACCCACTGAAAGAGCATTTCTGTATAAAAGGTAGAAGCTGTGCCCACACAAGCCAAACCAGTTGAGCATAGTCGATGGGTCTCAAACCCTCGGTGAGTTAGGGGCTTCCCCTGCATAAGAAGACAGGCTCTGGCAGATGGAGTTGACGAGACCAATAGTGGATCCAGTGGTCAAGAAGGCGGTTTCTGCACATGCTGTCAAGGGAAGTGAGGGGCAGATGGGGCTTGTCAACCTGGGAAGGGAGCCCATCTAGGAGAAGGAAAACCCAGATCTGAAATCTTTGCTGCCTTGTGGGATATCTTTGGGAGAAGAAAAGGCTAAGGAGTTAACTCTACACAAATCCAGAGTGGAGTCCCTAAGACTGTTTGGATGGCGTCTTCTATATCTCCTTCTGGCGCCTTGTACGCCTCCTTTCAGCAACTCCTGCAGCCAAGCTGGTGCCAAATGTCTTGCTTTCCTTTCCTTTCCTTTGGACCACATCAGTGAGGCCAAGAGGGGGGTCTTGTCATCTGGGCAGCCCAGGACCTCCATATATAATGCCCAGGCTTGAGCCCCGGGGAGATCACTTCAGTGCTGCTAACACAGCGGTTTGACTTCAGCCCCAAAGGCACACTCCATGGTCTCTTGAGACTGATGGATGCCAACAAGAACAAAAGACTATTTACTGACTCTTCAACAAGTACCAGGTACCCAGAATAATGTGCCGGGTAGGGGGTGCCCTGGCTCCCACAGCACCAGCAATACTGATCCATTCTTAATTCGTTCTGGAGGTCCGTTCTTAACCTGAAACTGTTCTTAACCTGAGGTACCGCTTTAGCTAATGGGGCCTCCCGCTGCTGCTGCACCACCGTCATGCGATTTCTGTTCTCACCCTGAAGCAAAGTTCTTAACCCGAGGTACTATTTCTGGGTTAGCAGAGTCTGTAACCTGAAGCGTCTGTAACCCGAGGTACCACCGTTATGGAATTCTCAGCTAAATCAGCCCTCAGTTCAAATCTATAGTGGAGGACTTCAAACTTCCCGGTGCCTCACTCCATGATACAGTGGTACCTTGGTTCTCAAACTTAATCCATTCCGGGAGTCTGTTTGACTCCCGAAACCGTTCGGAAACCAAGGCGCGGCTTCCGATTGGCTGCAGGAGCTTCCTGCACTCAAGGAAAAGCCGTGTTGGATGTTCAGCTTCCAAAAAACGTTTGCAAACCGGAGACACTTATTTCCGGGTTTGCGGCGTTTGGGAGCCGATTTGTTCGGCAACTAAGCCTTTTGGGAACCAAGGTTCCACTGTAGTGGGGAAACAAAAGCAAGTATAATAGGAATAAGAGTAGAAGACTGTGGAACAGCTTTCCTAGGATGAATAAATATTTGGGAAAGAATGTTCATGCATTGTCTTAGGCTAAAGTTATTTATGAAAAATAATCTTAAAAGGCATTGGAAGAAATGGTTCCAAGGAATATCCTGAAGCCATCTCTTCAAATGTCACTCATTGGTTTTTCACAGACCCCCAAACCAACCTGAATTTTCTAAATTATATATCTTTTTTGCATGCTGTGTAAGTGAAGGCCATTGGTGAAATGATGTCTTAGAAAGCCTGCTGTTGCTATGATATTATGTATTATTAACACAGATTGAGTAGAGGCTTATGCTCACTAGAGCAAAACAAACAATTTATGTCTGAAATTTAGTTAGAATAGCTTTGAGGGCAAACTACACAAACCAATATAGCTGAATGTGATATGATGTGGGTTTGCATTCTTTCCCCCCCTATTACTGTACACCTTTGTAAATTCAAACAGCACACAGATCATTTTAGCATTGTGCAGTGGAGGGATGAGACTTATTGTAGTGACTCCCAAATGCCTGATAAACTTGCATGGGTTCAAGTTGCCAAATGTACAGCAATGTAAGAGTGGATGAAATTGCTGGGTAATTCTCTCCTTGCTTTGTCCTTCTAGTTCTTTTAGCCTTTAAAAGGAGGCCCATTTTCACTTAGGAAAATGCTCCCGATAAGCTACATTTTACATGGGTCAAACAGGCTAGTCTCTGTGCAAAAGAATAAATGGACACAAATCTGAGATGAGAAATGACAGTGTGGAAAAGCCATTAAGATAAGGATATTCATGACTGACAGCACCATAGCTCAGTGGAAGATCATCCACTTTGTGTGCAGAAGGTCCCTGATTCAATCCCCAGCTTCTCTTGGCAGGGCTGGGGATGTCCCCTGCCTAAAACCCTGGAGAGTAGTTGGCAATCAGCATAGACAATACTGAGCTGGATGGACCATTGGTTTGACACGGAATAAGGCATCTTCCTGAGTTTGATGAGTTCCATTGCGTGTTTAGCCAAACTGGCAACAGCCATGCACATCAGGGAGATACCAGAAGTTTCAGTGGAACCCGAGTTTTGCAGAAGCATGGAAAATCTTTGTGAGAGATGACACCAAACTGGGAGGGGTGGCTAACACCCCAGAGGACAGGATCACACTTCAAAACGACCTTGACAGATTAGAGAACTGGGCCAAAACAAACAAGATGAATTTTAACAGGGAGAAATGTAAAGTATTACACTTGGGCAAAAAAATGAGAGGCACAAATACAAGATGGGGACACCGGGCTTGAGAGCAGTACATGTGAACATGATCTAGGAGTCTTGGTTGACCACAAACGTGACATGAGCCAACAGTGTGACGCGGCAGCTACAAAAGCCAATGCAATTCTGGGCCGCATCAATAGGAGTATAGCATCTAGATCAAGGGAAGTAATAGTGCCACTGTATTCTGCTCTGGTCAGACCTCACCTGGAGTACTGTGTCCAGTTCTGGGCACCACAGTTCAAGAAGGACACTGACAAACTGGAACGTGTCCAGAGGAGGGCAGCCAAAATGGTCAAAGGCCTGGAAACGATGCCTTATGAGGAACGGCTAAGAGAGCTGGGCATGTTTAGCCTGGAGAAGAGGAGGGTTAAGGGGTGATATGATAGCCATGTTCAAATATATCAAAGGATGTCACATAGAGGAGGAGAAAGGTTGTTTTCTGCTGCTCCAGAGAAGCGGACACGGAGCAATGGATCCAAACTACAAGAAAGAAGATTCCACCTAAACATTAGGAAGAACTTCCTGACAGTAAGAGCTGTTCGACAGTGGAATTTGCTGCCAAGGAGTGTGGTGGAGTCTCCTTCTTTGGAGGTCTTTAAGCAGAGGCTTGACAACCATATGTCAGGAGTGCTCTGATGGTGTTTCCTGCTTGGCAGGGGGTTGGACTCGATGGCCCTTGTGGTCTCTTCCAACTCTATGATTCTATGATTCTATGAGAGAAACCCCAACACAGTGCAATGACAACTGAGCCTGCTCAGAGGTCATGGCTAAAAATGGAAGCTGGAGTAGTGGTGGAATAGAAAGACTGGAATCCTGAGTAGAGAGCGCTTCTCACAGCGACATATATTATGACATTTGCTGTTACCATCTTAGAATTGGGAATGGCCCAGTACTCTTGAGTCGGCTTTCCACCGGATTCTCAGGTCAAACATTGAAATAAATGAGGGAGGGTGGAAAAAAAGACCACGCACTGTTTAAAATCTGCTCTTTAATCTGCCATGAGAGAGAACCCCACTGAGTCGTCCCCACCCCCGTACAATCAAGTGGTATACGAATTTTATGAAATAAAGTTATGAAGTAGGTTGGCTACATGAAACATTTATAAGCAATATTCCAAACACTCAGGGATGAATCTCTGCCCGGGATACAAGCAACTCAAAATGTTCAATGACTTTAGAAAGAAGGAATTCCCTGGGGAAGGAGAGCTGTTTGAGCAACTGAAAATGACAGCAAAAGGAAAAAAAGGGGGGGAGGAGAATTGCAGATTTTGGCTTAAATGTGGTAAGTAATTTTCAAAGGAAATCATTTTTTTAAAAAAGGAGGAGTGTGAATACAGGTAGGAACCAGGGCTGAATGCTGCAATTTGAAAAGGGCTGAAAGCCACGGCAAGCTTTGAGGGGATTGTTTCCTATATTTTTTAGTTTGACCCAAACTAAATCGGGGAACCTGTGGTCTTCCAGGTATTATTGGACTACATTTTCCACCATTGCTGAGCTCCACTATGTTGACTGGGGCTGATGGGAGTTGGAGTCCAGCAGCATCTGGGGGCCACAAGTCCTACCACGGCTGAAGTAAAGTCATGTAAATTCACTACCTGGGGGAAGTATCCTATCAGCTTACAAATTAATGCACTATCTCCAAGCTTTTCTTTGGCTTTTTCTTAAACTGCTAGGGGGAAATACTGTACTGTAAATATTCTCTAAGCATACAGGTTAGGAGTTTAGATTATTTGGCACAGAAATTTGTTATAACAACATTTAGCCTTAAAAGGGAAGGGTTCCACTCTAGAGAACTGTAAAAAAAGGTATGTTGGAAATAACTTGATTTCCATGTCTCCTCTGTTTAAAATAAAATTGCCTTCTTGCTGTGAACATTATAAAGCTGATTTCTGTTTGTGGTTTTCTCTCTCCTTTGTCTCATCTCATTAAATATCCATGCTCCAGATGGAATTAAACTTCACCCTGAGATCTTTATCATAATTGGCCAAGAAGTGAAGTTTCAGTTAAGATTGACACCTTATTAATAGGATTTTTCCTTGCCGCAAACTGACTTTAGAGATGGCTCTCGATGATTTATACATGTGCAGTGCCCTGACCTTGCATGGTTAACATCTGATATTTTAAAGAGGGCTGTCAAGTTGATGGGATTTTAAATATCAGTTGGATCTCTTATTCTCCTGATTTGTCCTGCTGAATAAATATTGGAAGACCAAAGGGGTTTGTTCTGGCACTGCCCATCATGCTAATCAGAAAGAAGCTCATGCAAAAATATTAGCAATGAGGTGGTGGTGGGGAAATAATATAACACACTTTTCTCAATAAGCTGTCTGAGGTAGGTAAGACATTGCGTAAGATCTGGTGCTTTAGAAATCAGATAAGTACTTTAGTCCTTTGCATCCTTACCTGACAGTGAATACCACTGAACTCAGACTTATTTAGGAGTAAATATTTGCAGAAAGTTTGCAGAGGTGGTTCTATGGTTCTGTCACACACACTGATGGTCATTACAGCATGGGAACTGCTGGCAAAGCATGGCAGTGGGACTACTCACTCCCACCAACAAGCAAAACAATACCAGCAGGATTGAGTTTCAGTTTGTTGCATGCAGATGTTAAACAGCATTAGCTTAACTGTCATGTGGATCCTTAACTGACAACTGAGAGTTAGAATTCTCAGTGTGGAAAAGAAGGATGGGAGATATGCACATTTTGATTGGTGGTTTAAGGTTTAGAATCCTCAGCTAGACAGCGTGATTGGCTGGAGCTGGACTACAGGGGCCAGAAGAACTGTATATATGACCTAGTACTAGTCAGTAGGTGACAGTTAGTTGTTTGGAGTTGGTGCTTGGTGTTTGTGGAGTCCAGCAGAAGACAGCAGAATAAGAGGATCAGAGGAGGAAAGGGAAGACCTGAGAGGCTGGTGGAGTGGCTTGGTGCCAAAGGCTTGCTGGAGAGAGCTGATTCATTTGGCCTAGGCTAGAGACAAGGGGAAATCCGATTTGCAGCACCGAGGGGAGAAGTGAGAAGCAGCTGGGAACGTTGGTCTCTGTAGGACACCACAGGAAAGCTCCCATGGCACTGAACAGTGGTCTCTAATAACTACTTTCAGCAAATGGCCCTGAAGGTAGAGTAGGACCATGTAAGTATAGAGCCCACAAGCTCAACCCATCTCCCTGAGCTGCGCCAGAGCCACCAAAAGATCAAGAACAATTAGGGTCACACTCCCCCAATCTCTCTCCTGACAGGTTGACCATGGTATTTTCAGTGCCATAACTAGGCCTGAAGTCTGGCTGGAATGGACCCAAGTAATCCATTTCCTCCAAGCATGCTTAAAGCTGGATCGCCACCACCTTTGTGAGCACCTTGCCCCAAAAGGGGATATTTGCAGTAGTTGTTTAACTTTTATGTGTCTAGGGTGGTCTTCTCACTGAGGGAGCGCAGCATCTCCTCCTTTAAGGTGGATTGTTCCTCATTGTACAGCTATACTGAAGCTATTGGGGGAGGGGTCGCAAAGAAAAGGGAGTAAAAAATGAGAAACAGAATCATACTGTACAAGTCAAACTTCTGCTTTAGAAAAACTTCCTGCCCATTTCCATGATTTGATTTTATCAAACCAGCTGTGGAAGTCACAAGCTTTCATTTTTTGAACTACTTCACACATTGGAACTGAAACTGCTTTTGCTCATTATTGCTCCTCCTTTCTGCTTTGTAGGGTCATCATCCTTAGTGGCCATTCTGTTATCCATTTACAAGCACTAAGCGCCTGCCCAGACATCTATAAAAGTAAGTAATAAACAGCCAGTTATACTCTGTCTAAAATGCACAGCTCTGACAGCTCGCACTTCCTAGCACTAATTAAAGCTCACCATCTAAATGTCTCTTGTAACATCTGTGTGTCTGGCTTCAATCTTTGAACTAGCCATAAACCTAACACCTAGCCCTGCACTCTTCCTTGGGGCTTTCGAAATCTGTTCTGAGGAGGACACCACCTTTCCTGAAAGAACAGCTGTGTGAACCCAGGAGGCTAGAAAGCTTCTTCCCACATTGTTTGGAAAGTCTATTCAGCACATAATAAATGGGAAGCTACTCACTCAGTGTTCATTCATTGCAAAAGCCTGTGTTGGTGTATGTACATATAAGTGGGTTGAGAGGGGGCAAAGGGATGGATGGGGCATTCCACTTTGTCCCCTTCCCTTTATAAACCATCTGTGGGCTAGTTCATAGGGTTGCCATCTTTTCAAAAAGTGACAATCTGGACAGTAAAGTTGTTGGGCTTTCTTTTTTTTTGGCAAAGTTGTTGAGCCTTTTTCAGTTTTGAAATTGGGCATTTACACTGTCAACATTGGTTGCCATATGTCCGGATTTCCCCAAACATTTAGCCGATTTCTGCCCAGACACTGCTTTCAGATACAATATTCTGGTATCTTTTGCTCCCATATGTCTGTTATACAGTGGTACCTCGGGTTCCATTTGCTTCAGGTTACATACGCTTCAGGTTACAGACTCCGCTAACCCAGAAATAGTACCTCGGGTTAAGAACTTTGCTTCAGGTTAAGAACAGTTTCAGGTTAAGAACGGACCTCCGGAACGAATTAAGTATGTAACCAGAGGTACCACTGTATCTGGAATTCGATAAAATATGGTTTAAAAATGATGCATCAACAATATGTGTGTCTTTACCAGACAGTATGGCATAGCCAACGTGGTGACCTCTAGATGCTGTTGAACTCCAACTCTTGTCAAGTCACAGCCTGCACAACCAATGGTCAGGGATGACTGGAGTTGTCCAACAACATCAGGAGGGCATCACATTGGGTACCCCCTGGCATATATATATATATATGCATGTTGACATGTACACAATGGTGGCACATATATACGAATGGGAGAACGTAGGTGCACACAAATGCTTATTATGAATGTGTGTGTGTTGCTTATGGTTGGTTGGAAGAGCAAGATGCAGTTCCATCTTTTAGTGAATGATTGGACACTTCCATTTAAAGATGAGTATCATAAAGCATTAAAGAACCATAAGAAGGGAGAGCAGCCTGGGCATTGCCTGTCTAGAGTTTCTGGACAGCAGCCTAAGGAGGCACACAGGTGACCTGCCACAGTCTTTCTCAGTACAGTGAGATTTACTGTATTTCTATTTGAATTACAGCAATTATTTCTATATTTGCATCTAATGCATATAAAGTTGCTACTGCAATTTCCATACAAATCTGTATCTTCTTTCCCCCCTCTTTTTTGGTAATGCATTTCTTTTCTTTCTTTTTCTAACAACGCATAAGTGGCCATCCTTCCCTCTGCTCAAGCATCAGGAGTTAGATCACAAGTATCGCTCCTCCCTCAACTCCTAGACTAGTGAAAAATCCAGGTCATGTATACACTGCTAACTTGCATTAGTTTCATACAGTTTATTACAAATGAAACAGACACAGCAGCAATCTATTTTAAGGCCCAAGGAGGAAATATTTACACCAGCATCCACTCAAGTCTTCATCAGATATTGGTGTCCTTAAAAAAAACCCCCAAAAACCCCCAAACCTTATGGTTATTATGTATTATTCATGTAATTTAAGTAGAATTTGCCTTCTTTCTTCTTCTCTCCCCATTCCTTTTCATATTCTGTTTATTAGACTGTATGCCTGCAGGCAGAGACTATGATGCTTTTAATCTTGGTATGATGCTTATAGAACTTTAGATGTGTTAGGTGTGTTAGCAATAATTATCCTAAGAGTTTATTAATCCTGTTAACGGCAATGTTTTGTGGTTTCTTCCCTCAAACAATCCTGGTAGTTGTAGTTTAGCAAGGATGCTGAAGCTTCTGTGTTAGGGAAGGGTGGCTCATACTGTGCACATCTGTAAATGTCTACTCAGAAGGTGGCCTGTTAGGTCCAATGGGGCTTACTCCCTGGCAAATGAGTGCAGGAGTGCAGCTTTCAAACACTTCCAGTCCTTCCCACGCCATCGCATTCTGGCCAAGCATCAGCCAGCAGGATTGCACTCTCTGCAATCAGCTCTTGGTCTTTGCTGCCCTGGGCTGCTTTGGAAGGGCAGTATATTAATTAACAAGTGAAATATAAGAGTTAGAATTTTTAACTTTATATTTGACTTTATTCAGTAAAATTTTATTCTGAAATGTTCCATTTGATGTTTTAATGTAGGTTGTAAACTGCTTTGAGATTTCCCCCCTTTAAAATATGAAGCAGTATAGAAAAAGAGTACTGACTTGCAACCTAGCTGTATTATTATTATTATTAAATTTTGCAGCTGTACAACTGAGGGCTAGGGAGGTGGAAGGGTGGGGAATTATTATGCATTAATTGTTTTTCTAGCTTCGTGAACTCATAAAATCAAATAAAAATAATTTTAAAAAGAAATGAAATTAGCCAGTTCTACCAGTAGATCCTTATTTTCCCACGTCCCTGCTTTATGGGATAGAGACCCCGTTGCAGGGTCATTACAACAGAGCGGGTGAAATTAGCGTGGGTGTGTTTTAATAAGGACCAGGCAGGAAGAGCGAACTAGGCCGTCGCGAGCCACAAGGCAGCGGAAGCTCCTTTCGCGGCGCGAGAAAGCAAAAGGCGAGGGGGCGGAGCTAAGGGCGGAAAGAGGCGGGGACTGCAGCAGCCCGGGCTTGCTCCCTGACTGCCGGTTGCTTTGTTGGTGGGCGGAATCCAGAAGAGTCCATTATTCCCACTAGCGAGGGGGAGCACGGCTCTCCCTCAACCCCTCCCCCCTCAGTCTTCAAAGACGGGTCAGACTTTCTGTACGCGGGGGCTCTCCGTTCAGCTGACGGCAGGCTGCGAGCGGCGGGGGCCGACGGAGCACCCCGCGCTCCCTCCCTCCGCCTTGCTGTTTTCCTCACCCGTCCCTCCCCCCTGCCCTGCCGGAGGGAGATGGTTCGTTCCTCAGCGCGCGCGCGCCCTGCTCCCGCGGTTCGGCGGCCGCCGCTGCCTGGGAGGGGGGAAGGGCGAGGGAGACCCGGGGCTTCGCGAGGGGAGCCTCGGCCCAGGACCCGAGGCGGCCGCTCTCCCCGCCCTTTCTCAAAAGCCGCGCAGCCGGGAGGGACCATCCATGGCGAAAGAAGCCGAAGAGCGGGAGCTGAAGGTTCCCGAGGAGATGTTCAAAGATGTCAAGTTCTTCGCCGTGGGAGACATAGGCGCCGAGGTGCGTTGCTCGGACGGGCTCCCCTCACGCGCGCCCCGTCGCCCCCTCCGCCTTCGGGCGCCTCAAATGCCCCCTCCTCCCCGTAAGACGACGCGGGCCACGCGCTGACAGCGGCTCGCGCCGGTTTTTTGAGCGCGCGGCCTCTCGGGAAGGGAGGGGGGATTTGGGGGGCGCGTTCGAACCCCCCCTCCCTCCCCCGTGCGCCTTGGCGGCCGTTAACGGCTCCCAACGGCCGCCTCCTTCCCTCCCCCACCTTCTTACAGTATTTCTGTTGCCGGTGTCTCGGCGTCCCGCGCGCCTTCTGGAGCCGGGCAGGCCCTACGGCGGCCTCTGTTGCCTAGCTAGCTGGCTGGCTGACTGGGGAGGCGACAGAGGAGGCTGCGCTTCTCTTTTCCTCCCCTCACGGCTTCCCCGGAGTGGGGGACCTGCCCTGCGTCCCCTCCCTCCCTCCTGGCGCAAACTCGCGCTCTCCTCTTTTTCGGCTTGAGTTGGGGACGCGGCCAGGACTAGGCCCCGTCCTGGGTTTTCCCCGCCCGCTCTCCTCCTCCTCTTCACCTGGCAGGCGTCCCCTCCTTTCCCCGAGGAGCTCAGTTTTATAAATCCGAGGGAAAGCGGAAGGAGGGCCAGTTCGAGTAAATGGCACCTAACCGTGTAGGGAAGCTTTTCCCGACGGTAGTCCGGCTGCAGGGGAGAGAGAGGCGCGGGTTCCTGCGTGTAAACAAACTTACCCCTGAATTTAAAAAAAGGGTTCGCAGGGAGAGGGCTAGGCTGTATCCTTTCCCCTGAGGTGGTAGTTTTCTGCATCCAAGGCTGTGTGTGGGGAACATTAAATATCAGCCTGGAGTGGTACAGACAACAGGAAAGCTTTTCTTCTTAATTAGCTGGCCCTGACTGCATCAGAGTGTTCACAGCTGTCTTGAGGCAAGGCACAAGACCCATTAACAATATCCTCCTGGTTATTGACGTCTCTTGCCATTTTGTCCCTTGATCCTATCTCTCCAGCCTTGTAGGCAAAATAATTGATCTTTATCTTCACTCTCATTGTTTTGGTAGCTTTTCTTAAATTCATACACACCCATATCAGTTTCTGGATCCTGGACAAGGTTCTCATCCTTTATTTTCAATACCTTCTGTGTCTTGCTTCTTGTGTCTTGCTTTTAGTGTCTTGTTTCATTCTCTCCTGTGCTGACATCATCACTGCTTGTGAGTTTTGTTCATCCAGCTCCATCCCAGCCATCCAGAAGTCCCTTGCACCTTCAAATAACTGCCCTTCTGACTGAAAATGTCTCTCAGAACACCTTGGTTACACTGCCTCTCTTCCTTCAAACCTATTCTTAAAACACATTTTCTGCAAAATCTTTAGCTCGGCTACCAAGCCTACATACCCTGTTCCAACTAATCTTAAGTACATGCAACTGAAATAAACATCCTTCCTCTGTGCACCCTGGCTTCCATTTCTGTCACCTTTCTCTGGTGTAAACCTCTATATATGTATCATTCTATATGATAAAGATGTGAGCAAATGCATTATACTTAGATTTTCACACTGCTACTGGAAATCTTGCATACCCAATCCACAATCAGTGGTAAGCCTGCAACAACAGCATCAAAACAATGAAATGGAATAGCAAACAAAAGTGAATTTAGAATTCAGATTCCTTTCATGCAAGAATTCTGATTTGGAAAATGCAATGAAAAGAAACATTTGCATCACCTTGCATTTCACTTCCCACTGCAATAGCCTATAATGTGCCTATTTGTGCCTGCTTGTATTGCCACAGTAAGAGCTGGACATGATAGGAGACCAGGGTGAGTAGCTCAGAGTCCCATGGTTGTGTGTTGCAGTTTAGCTGTGCACAAGGAGTGCTTATCTGGGGAAAGATCTGGCTTTAATGTAAACAAGCCTCCAGGGAAAAACACTTGGCTTCAATAGTGTCTAACATCTGCATTTTCCTGAAAGTGAAAACCAAAAGCCCTCTTGTTTTGTAGGTTATTCAGCTTTTGAAAGATGGCAAGGCGAAGGAGGTTTCTTACAATGCTCTGGCATCACACATCATTTCAGAAGATGGAGACAATCCAGAAGTTGGTGAATCTCGTGAAGTCTTTGATCTTCCAGTAGTAAAAGTGAGTACCTACAACATTAGAATTGATAGTTTTAACTACAGTAAACCTAATTTTAGTACAGGACCTTCAGGGTTATTCATATCTTAGAATCAGCACTTGAGTGCAAAAAAAGTGTACTATATGTGGGAAACCCTGTATCCAGAACCTGAAATGTGAATGTTGCGATCCATTTTACTGTAAGTGTGCTTATGATGAGAGTACTATATATTAATTCAGCACACTCCCTCTCACCCTCAAAATGGAATAATGCTAGCAAGATTGCTGTCAACAATTATCTGGCTGGCAAGGGAAAGATATTGCTTTATATATAAAAGAACATAAAAATATACATTACCATGAACTTGTAAAAGTTTGCATGATTCTTATGCAGTGCTTGGGAATGCTAGTAACAAGGGAGTGGTCACAGCTCAGTGATAGATCACATAATTTGCATACAGAATGTTCCAGGTTCTGTTCCTCTCCAGTTAGGAATGGGGAAGCCTTCTCTCTGAAACACAGCCACTGCCATTGTAGTGTAATATAGACAATATAGAATAGAGTGAACCAATGTTGACTGAGTGACCTTGTTTCCACAACGTGATAAGCCAAACTATGTCTTACAGAGAGTGGCTCGCAGCTGCTGTGCTCCTCCCTGATATTTTTTTACTTCTGCACTGTGCTGTGTTAGGCCAAGGTTTGGTTTAGTAGTACATTGTCCAAACCTGGGCTTGTAATAAACCTGTCTCCTCAATAACCATAAGCCGGCTTTGAAGACATGCTAAACCATACCTTGACTTAGTTCAGCACACAAGTAAAAAGTACTGGGGAAGAGCAAAGTGACTGTGAGCACCTCTCCAGCCTGCACGGTCTCAGTAAGCTTAGTTTGGCTTCCTATGCTGTGTGAAACCAGGGCGCTATAAGGCAAGTTCCTGTGTTCCTGTCAGTAGATGTTAAATAGCTGATTGGTTAATTTAAATTTGGTACATATTTGTTAAATAGACAGATATTTATGGGATGTAATGTGCATTGTCTATTGGCAACTCACTACATGCATTATTTTCACCTGTTTTTAGCCTTCTTGGGTGACTTTGTCGGTTCGATGTGGAGTTCTTCTGCCGTATCCTTTTTGGTTAAAATGTTAACATGTGTTATGCTTATTTAAAACTTAATACAAGCAGAATATTGGCTAGCACAGCAGCTGTTCTAGAGGATTAATTCTTTCTTTATATGACTGAGGCAGTGTTAGTGGATGGTTGCCTTGACTGGATGGATGGGAGGTTGCCTGCTCTTGATAGGGTTACACTCTCTCTGAAGAAGTGGGTACACAGTTTACAGGTACCATTGCTGTCACCTGAGGCTCAGGTGGCCTCAGTGGTGTGGAGTGCCTTCCATCAGCTCTCGCTGGTGGTCCAGCTATGCCTCTTTCTGGACAGCAATAGCTTAACCTCTGTCATCTATGCTCTGGTAACCTTTAGGTTAGATTACTGCAAGACATAATACGTTGGGCTGCCTCTGAAGACGGTTTGGAAACTTCAACAGGTGCAGAATTCTGCGGCCAAGTTGCTCACCAGCGCAAGATGGTTTGAGCATATCATACCAATCCTGGTCCAACTGTACTGACTGCCGGTTAGTTTCTGGGCCCAGTTAAAAGTCCTGGTTTTAACCTATTAAGCCTTGTGGCTTAGGACTGCAATACCTTAAGGACGGTCTCTCCCCATATGAACTGCCTCAGACACTGCAATCACCACCTGAGGCCCTTTTTCATGTGCGTCCTCTGTGAGAGGTCTGGAGCGCAACAACATGAGAACGGACTGTTACGAGTATGTACCTGGACTCACATGTGCACAGGCAGCACTTAGGTATGTTCAGTTACAGTGTAGTAGGTTAGAAAGTTAGAGGCAAAGGCTATAAACATGTACCAGGGAGTAAAGTATTAGGGAACTCAGGAGGACAAACCTCCAGATAAACATGCATAGGATTAAACTATTAAGTGATATGTTTGGACCACCCATTTATTTTTGTGGTTGATGTGTGACTCTAACCTGAATTGGTGAGACCCAAGTTGAAGATTAGGAAACAACCTATTATTATTACCTGTATTATTATTATTAGAATTTATATACCGCCCTATACCTGGAGGTCTCAGGGCAGTTCACAAAATAAAATATTTTTAGAAGTATTCATAAGATTTTTCTTAGCTATTTGAGAAGCTTTTGGTAAACTTGCACCAGTTATTCACTTTACATCTCATTTATATTATATCCTTGACTTAATTTTGTCAGAGTAAATGGTTTCTCCCCAGAATCCTGTCAGATCTTTTTTGGAGTTGCTGCTTGTCTGTCTCAGGTAAGATGTTTATCCAGATAGTTGTATGTTTATGCTGATAGCCAAATGATGTGTCAGAAAGTGCTTTTCCCTAAATATCTAGTGGTAATTTTTTTTACCTTTTCTGATAGGTTTCCGCTGAAGACCGAAGTACACTGTGGGCTTTGATTACGTTTTATGGTGGAGATTGCCGGCTGAGCCTCAATAAAAAATGCACTCATTTGATTGTGCCTGAGCCAAAAGGGGTAAGAGTTTTATTATGTGGACATGCTTTCCCATTTTAATGTTACTTTGACTTTCTGAGATATAGAATCAACATGATTTATACAAAAAAAACTTCCCTTGTCAAACTTTTACATTTTTTTGGAGGGATCCGTTCAATGTGTAGCTGGGAGTGATTTATAAGCTTTTCATTTCAGAAAGCTTTTGATGAAATCAAAGAAAATTGGCATTCATGTTCATGAAGTACGGGTTCATTTGTGTTTTGGTAAAAGATTAAAATATAGAATGGAGAGTAGCAGTAAATTGCTAATTAATTTTCACAGTGGAAGGAAGTTAGACTGGGATCGCCTATTTATTTTTTATTTTGTGAAAAATAACCCAGTATTTAATTTTATAAATGATCTGCGGTTACAGTGGGATAGCCAATTTCCACTAAATATTCAGAAAGGTAAAATGATGAGCAAATTATAAAGATCTTGCATCAGGCAGCAAATTTTTTTGAGTAGTACAGTTATATATCGATGTAGAACCAAGACAGCTTTAGTTTTTTGCATATATCACATGAACCTCAGTTTATTCCAGCCTTGTAAACCAGCCTGCAAAAGTTACTACCTTGTAATAGAAATCAGTAGCCATGTTTTTGCTGGGATCAGAAGTCGGTGTACCCCTTGCATAGCAGCCTGTTCTGCTGGGTACAGGGAAGGAACACTCACCAGTCCACTCACCTCTATGTGCTTATGTGCACGAAATTCCTTGCTGTGAATGGCTGCCAGGCTAGTGCTTAAATAAAAGGTTGATTTATTCCTGCTATTTAAGTCTCCAAGTTGCATTTATTTGGCTGGAAAGCCCTTCAGTGTTCTCAAGTACTGTATCAATACTTTTTTCAGCCTGTATTACACAAGAATTGCTGTGGTAGTTAAAACTTCCCCACATCAGGACTGCCTGGTCACTAAAGTACCTAAAAATAGGATGTTAGCACCATTATAACTTTTTTCGTATTTAGAAATTTAAAATGCTTATCTCTTTTTGCCAATTTTTCTCTTTGCCTTTTTCTTTCTTTCTCTCCCTTGTTGCCCAGCAGGCTGCAAGAAAAGGAAGAGATCACTCTTGTCAGAGGTCAGATTGATAGGTTTCAGAGGGTTTTTGAAATTAGTCTGAGGGTTGCAGGTTGTCCACTCACATTTTAGAGGACTGAGTAACTAAGTTTTTAAGGAGTTTATAATCTTAGAAGGAGTTTATAATTTTATTTATTAGTAACCAGGAATGTAACTTGTTGAGCTGATGTAAACCAATATAATTAAAACAAGTGTTTACAAAACTAACACTATCTAAAAGCTAAATTGACTCATAATTGGAATGTTTTTGTTCTTCTCAGGAGAAATATGAATGCGCCTGTAAAAGAGAAAACATTAAAATTGTGACACCTGACTGGGTTTTGGATTCTGTATCTGATAAAACTAAAAAAGATGAGGCTTCCTATCATCCACGATTAATTATATATGAGGAAGAGGAAGAAGAGGAGGAAAATGAAGATCAGGATTCTCAAAATGAAGCCAGCACAGATGAAAAGTTGTCAAGTCCAGCATCTTCTCGAGAAGGCTCACCTTTGGGTGATCGAGCTTTTTCACCTAAATCTATTGATGCTGATAAAACGAAAGGAGAACTGATGTTTGATGATTCATCAGATTCGTCTCCTGAAAAGCATGAAAGAAATTTGAACTGGACACCTGCTGAAGTTCCACAGACTACAGCAAAGCGCAGATTGCCTTCAGGCAAGGATTCTGGATTGATAAATTTGTGTGCCAATGTCCCACCTGTCCCAGGCAATATTTTGTCCTCTGAGATGAGAAGTAATATAATGGCTTCAGTGCAAAGTCCTCAAAGTTCTGGACGTCCCGAAATGATGGCTGCATGGAGTCCTGCAGTACGGACATTAAGAAATATTACCAATAATGCTGATATTCAGCAGGTTAATAGACCATCAAATGTTGCGCATGTAAGTATCTTAAAGTACAAGTTAAAAAAAATGTTTGGAAGTGAATAGCTTTTATGACTTTGATACTATAAAATACAAAGAGAATTGTTATAAGGATTACAACTAGATAACGCATGTGAAGTGGTTTTAGTGCCAGAAAGCACTATACAAATGCTGTGTTGCACTCAAACAATTACAGAAGTTTTAGTACATTGATTACAGTGGTAACTTGGTTTACAAACTTAATCTGTTCTGGAAGTCCATTCTTAAACCAAAGCATTTTTAAATCAAGGTGTGCTTTCCCATAGTAACAGGGGGCTCAATTTACAAATGGAACACACTCAGCAGGAAGCGGAACATGTTTTGCTTCCAAGGCAAAGTTCACAAACCAAAACACCTACTTACGGGTTTGCAGCGTTCTTAATCCAAGTTGTTCATAAACTCAGCTGTTCTTAAACCAAGTTACCACTGTATATGAGTTTAAATTTTCTTTCCGGTGATTTTTGAATCCTTTAGTGTAGTTGGGCATAGTTTTTTCATATTTTATCCTATGCTTGTACGTGTGCTGAGCCACTTGCCCTTTTACTTTACCAAGGCCTGCAACATGCAGAAGTCTTCTAAATTAAAAAGAAATAGATGACACAGTGCTGTGGAAATGAGGAGCAAATACGTAATTCATATGCAATTTGAAAGTATTCTTTAGATCAGTAAATATTTTTCCCATGGTAACTTATCATTCCATGATTACTATTTGAGGGGTTCCCTTCAGGGTTTTTTCCTTTAAAAAAATTGTATTTCTTTACATTTTGTTGCCTGCCTTAGCCTTCTGATACATCTCTTAGGTGTGGATAGTATCATTTGGCTGCATAAGTACCAATGCTCATCTCAACTTCAGAAATAGAAGAAACTACTTGAAGAGAAAAATGAGCACAGAGAATTTTTACTGTAGATTTCTTTTTAATTATGCTAGCCTTTCTCTTAATGTGCGAAGTGTAGAAGCATAATGCTGTGTTGCATGTTTTATATCACACTTCCTACAACATTTACCTTCCTCCGTGCGATCTGTATATTGGGACCTCTTGAAAATTCTCCCATTTGCCAAATAATATAAACTTTCTGTTAATTTGTATTCAAAATAACTGTTTTGTGGAATAACTAAATGGTTTCCTCTATTAATTAGACTTCAAATGAAGTACAGTTTTAGTTGAATGCATCAGAAAGTTTTCAGATTTGATTTATGCTTTTCTGTTTTCAGTGAAATGTTTTGAAGGAAAGTTTACATGCATCCTTTTGTTTTCTAGATCTTGCAATCACTTTCTGCTCCTACAAAAACTTTGGAGCAGCAAGTAAACCATAGCCAGCAGGGACATTCAAATGCTGTGTTGCTTAGTCAAGTTAAATTGACTCCAGAGACACACTTACTACACCAGCAGCAGCATCCACCTCAGCAGTCACAGCAGCAGCAGCAACAGCAACAACAGCAGCAGCAGCAACAACAACAACAGCAGCAGCAGCAGCAGCACCTCCCTCTCTTGCATCTTCCATCCCAACAAATTGTGCAGTTGCAGCAACAGCAGCAGCCACAGCAGCCTCAGATTACTCAACAGTCTTTCTCTCAGCAGCCTCATCAGTTTGTGCAACAGCAAGTTCATCAACACCAATTCTCACAGCAGCAGTTACAGTTTTCTACACAACAGATACATTCTCAGCAGCAAGTACATCGTCCTCAACAACAGTTGCAATTTCAGCAGCAGCATGCCTTGCAACAGCAGTTGCATCAGCTACAGCAACAGCAGCTACAGCAACAGCAGCTGCAACTACAGCAGCAAAACCTTCAACAACAGTTACAGCAGCAGCAACTACAGCAGCAACATTTGCAACGAATGCAGCAGCAGCACCAGCAGCAGCAGCAGCAACAACAACAACAAATGCAAAATCAAGCATCTCAACTCTTGACCCAGACTTCTCAGACATTACAGCATCAGGTTCCAGTTCAGCCATCACAGCATGCTCAGCAGCAACAGTTGCAGCAGCAGCAGCTCTTTGGGCATGATCCATCCATAGAAAGTTAGTAATTTTGTTCTCGTGTATGTTAGCTGAGGCTTTAATTACACTTATTTAAATAGTAGAACACTCCTCGCCCCCTTTCTGACCCAGTGGGTCTGCAATGTGCCTTACAAATCTAATTAAAAGGTTCAACTGTAAGAGTGACGATATAAAACATCAGACAAGCAGTAAAAGAGCAGCTAAGATCAGAGCAAGCAATTCCCCAAACAAAATACCAATGGTGATCTGATTGCGAACCATCTTTGTTGACAGCTTGAAAACCAAGAGTAGAGTAAGGTAGAACAAACCACATCTGGAAGTGAGTTTCTCAGCACGGTGCCATGGCCAAAAAATAGTTTCAGCTACAAACTTTCACGTAGGAGATTCTTCTAGTTCAAACATTTTCCAAGACTTTTTTGTATTTGATAATTTACATGTGTTATGGGGCCATTGTCAGTCCTCCATTTCAGTGGACATGCTCAAGTATAGAGCTTGTTGGAATGAACTCATGGCCTATTTTTATTAGATCCACCAGTGCTCTCATTGTTTACAGTCTACTAAGCATTTTTCACAATGCATCCAAATACTAGTGAAGGGCAGTCTCTGCGCGGTGCTTCTTCACTTTTGTATGTACGGTAATGGGCAGAGGGAATAACCCATGCACAGTCCCTGAGGTGATGTGTGCACAATGCAACTCCAGTTCACAGAACTGTTTCTGCATCTGCAGAACACCCTTTAAATTCAGCCACTTGCTTTCCAACACCAATCTAAAGTTTGCTGGGAAGTGGAGGACCTTGCAGGTGTGCTTATGTTCTGTGAGCTACAGCAAGTTTCACTCTGTGAAGAGATGAGTATAGCAGTAAATGAAGACCTTTTTACTATTAATGGTAGCCCATTAAATAAGAGAAAATATGCTAGAGTATTTTGTATTAATTTAATTTTTATAACTCTTCTAGTTCCAGAAGACTATTTTCTGTTGGGTTGTGTCTTTGCAATTGCTGATTATCCTGAGCAGATGTCTGATAAACAATTACTGGCAACATGGAAAAGGGTAATTATTTGTTCTGTTTGTGAATATTTTTCAGTTTTGTGCATTAGTTTTTCAGTTTCTTAAACAAAAATAGGTATATTTAAAAACCAACAAATTGTTTTATTTTTGACTTACCAGATTATTATATATATTCCATGTCTATAATATGTATGTTACCAACAAAGCACACAAAACTTCATCTTCTTTGTTCTCCTTTTAACTGATTTTTACTATTACTAGCTTCAAACATAATTTCTGCCTTTCTTTGTTATCTGTTTATCAGAGGTCCATCTGCCAAAATTTCCCATTACTCTCAAGTAACAAGCTTACCAGTTAGGTTTTGTGCAAAATACAGTGATAAGAGCCAGGTTTTAAACTATGGCACATATGTAACATGGCAAAAAAATTCAATAAGTGTTGTTTGATTAACAAACCTTTTAAGTGTGTCTAGTTTTTATTTTTCTAGATAATCCAAGCAAATGGCGGTACGGTAGATCCCACATTCACAAACCGGTGTACACATCTTCTCTGTGAAAGTCAGCTTAGTAATATGTATGCTCAGGTAAGACCAAATGGCACAAATGTACTTACCTATGTTTGTAAGAGCTGTTTATTTCCTTACATTGAATGATATAATAGTTCAGGAACAATTTATTACAAAGGTGAAAGTATCTATAGATACATAATTTATGTTCTCCCAGTCTTTTGCTGCTAGTAACCTCAAGGCAACTTAAAACTGTAAAATACAATTTTAAGCATATAGTTTCAAACAGCAATAACATAAGATTCTCTGTGCAGTCATGGCCTGTAGCTAGGTCTTTTCCCTCCTCCTGAGTAGACCATTCCTCCTAGGTATTCCCCTGCTGTTATAGCTGTTTGGCAGCCAAACGAGTACTCATGCTATGACTTGGGGCTTCCCATCTGCTCTGTCACCACCTTTGTTCTGAGGCCCAGGAGGCAATTGTGAAGAATTGGGGATGGGGTTAGAGGGCACTTTCTCTCTCTCTCTCTCTCTCTGTGTGGAGAGGGGGGCGGGTTGAATAGGAAAGAGACAGAATACAAGAAATAAATATATATTGTATCTTTTGGTTGTTGTTCTGTAGATTGTGGTAGTTGTATGCTCCCTACAGTTGAGAGTGACTAACCTAAGGATTGGTGGGCCTGTATCAGAGATGGCACTCACTGCTGTCTGAGGACTTTGGTTCATCTGTATCCCATACCAACCTCATTTTTGTTTGAAAGTGGGTGGCTAAAAGCTTTATAAACCTAAAGCAGCAACATATATATATTTAAAATATTTTCATACATACCTACTAAAATTTATATGTACAGTGACAAATGTTTTGCATGTGTGTTGCAGGCTTTGAGAGAAAGGAAGAGATGTATCACAGCACACTGGTTGAACTCTGTGCTAAAAAAGAAGAAAATGGTACCACCTCACCGAGCTCTTCATTTTCCTGTAGCATTTCCACCAGGAGGGAAACCATGTTCACAGCATGTAAGAAATTAACTCTAGCATTTTGCTTGGAAGGTGCTGTTGCTATTATTTCTTTTACTTCAAGCAGCTTTTAATGTCGGAAGATATAAAAATGAGCAAATATGTAACGTCCTGTCTCTGAGACTATTTTACAACTCTAATTGGAATTAATAAAATTACATGATTGAATTCAGGGTTTTTTTGTACTGCACCTAAATAGCTTTATGTAAATGGGATATATTTCCTTGCTTTGCAATTTAAGTTATCTTTAAATCTCAGGTGTGGAACTGGTTTGTTTGTTTGTTTGTTACTCCTTTTTATGTGAGGATTACTGCATTATGAAGGGTTTTCTGTTCGATGGTAAATTTGGTTATCACATTGAGAGTTAGGCAAATGGTTCAATTTATGAAAATGATATCATAAAGCAAGAATGGAGAACAGGGGCCCCTCTAACATTCCTGACCTTTGGCCATACTGACCATGACTGAGATTTGGAAGTCCAACAATATCTGGAGGGGTATAGATTATGAACCCCTGTCATAAAGTGACTGCCTGAAGATTTTACCACTTCATATTCTAATGTTTGGTTTGGACCTTTTCTGTCAAGGGTTGCTTACACCTTGAATCTTCCTACATCAATTAATAATTCCACGAAATGAACCATGGAATCTTTTGGGGCTAAAAGGCAGTACAAAAAGATTTAGATAAATAGAAAAACGTCTGGCTGCAGTTATGTGTCCACATTTTGAGAATGAGAAGAGTTACTGTTTCATAGCATACTTCAAATTAACTGAAGACTTGGGAAGAAAAGGTTACCCATAATATGTACTTAAAGAATAGGACACTTTTGGTAGGCATTGAAAGATGGGCAAGGAGACACATACTACAAATGACCAAGAGAGATTTACAACATTTTCTGATAGGATTTATTTGAAATTTCTGTTTACTCATATTTCTGATGGGTGAATCATCTTCTGTTCCAGATAATCTCAGTGACAGGTTTTGTTGATAGTGACAGAGATGATCTCAAGCTGATGGCCTACCTCTCAGGTGCAAAGTACACAGGCTATCTTTGTCGCAGCAACACAGTTCTCATCTGTAAAGAGTAAGTGGCTTATATTTATTTTGATTTTTTTATTAACCATGATATATCATCATCAACCTTTATTATGGTCCAGAGACCCAACAAATCGTTACAAAGCAATACCCAATTCATACAGCCTACCTCCAGGTTAAACAAGCATTTTGTTCAGAATATAGGGATCATTGGTTCTTGCAACCACCGACAAAAACTTGGCCACTGCTAATGTTCTAGCATTTGTCCGGTCTTCCAATAGGAACCTGGCATAGTGAGCCTCTGATTTTCCTGGGAAAAGTACCAGCAAAGGTAATATCAGTTCAGCCCTGACTTGCTCATATTTTGCACAGTGCAACAAAATATGTTTTATGGAATTGATATCTTGAGCACATGAGCAAAGTCTGTCCTGGTAGGGAACTCCTCTCAATGTGCCATCCAACACTGCAGAAGGAAAGACATTTAGTCTGGCTTTGGTGAAAAGCCTTCGATAGTTTGGTACTGTCAGGTTTTTAATGTAAGATGTTAACTTAAAGACATGCCCATATTGTACTCCTACTGCCAGCGGACTACAGACTGCGTGTGATCGAGATTGCAAGTCACCATGATATATAAATAATATTGTTACAATTTGTGAAAATATTAGTGAGTATAAAATTATAAAATAAACAGAGAAGTTACTACATTCTAAAAAAATTATCCCAATTGGTATCTTTTGTTTTAAACATATATAATATATATATCTATATATATCAATATTTATCTATCTATATATATATATATATATAAATAATAGTTTCATAAATTGGTTTTATATGTGCAATTGTTTTAAATTTTTATTTATGCAATTGTTTTATACAAGTTTTTATTGTAAATGACTTTGGGATGCCTCATGGGAAGCGATTCATAAATGAAAATAAATAAGATGTTTAGTATCATTTGTGTCTCTTTTCCCTCCGTAACAAGGCCAACTGGTTTAAAGTATGAGAAAGCCAAAGAGTGGAGGATACCATGTGTGAATGCGCAATGGCTCTGTGATATATTACTTGGAAATTTTGAAGCACTGCGGCAAATACAGCACAATCGATACACAGTATTCAATCTTCAAGAACCACTTGCTCCTAATCAACATCTGGTTTTAAACCTTCTTGGTAAGAAGAGTTGCCAGACATACAGCATAGCAAATGTTAGTTTTCTGCAGTAAAGAAATACCGTATTTTTTGCACCACAACACTCACTTTTTTCCTCCTAGAAAGTAAGGGAAAATGTCTGTGTGTGTTATGGAGCGAATGCCTGCGGGGGGGGGGGGAATCTGCAGTCGTGAGCAGAGGATCCATGGTTCCCCTTCCTTCCCTCCTCCGTGGTTACAAAGCATGGATCCACATGGATCCTCAGGATTGTTGCATTGGGCTACTCCAAACTCACTGTCAGATCACATGTCTGTGGCCACAGCATGAACCACAAAAATCATATATCCACTATTTCGTTTAGAATATTTTTTTCTTGTTTTCCTCCTCTAAAAACTATGTGCGTGTTATGGTCTGGTGCGTGTTATACGAAAAATATGGGTATATGAATAAATATATATGTTGCTCAGACTTACAAACTTTGCATGGCTTGGGACATGTTAGTGTGGCTGTTGCTTGGGTTTCTGATTTACTGTTCTAACTAAGAAAGGTTTACTCAGAAGGAAGCCCCATAGGAAATGACATTCACTCCCTTTAAAGACTTTTAGGATTGCACTGCTAGAATGTTTGTGCAAAACTGGAAGCAACACATGAAATAAAGGGTAGTACATATTTACTTTCCTAATGTGAACTGCGCCACTTTTGGGGTATGTTCCATGCATACTGTCAGACTATGTGTGTGTAATTAGCATGAAAAGACTGTATGCACTGAACTAGTGTGGTGGAGTGTGCAGAAAATATATGTCCTATGTCAAAACTTGTTCTTTCCTGTTCACTGTTCCCAGATGCTTGGAGAGTTCCACTAAAAGTATCGTCAGAACTTCTAATGGTATGTGGATTTGCTAATAATTTATTTACTTTAACTGCTATTTCAGTGGGGACATCATAAATCTGTTTGGACAAAGGAATATAAATGCTTAAAAGATTCATTTGTTTAAGATACACTTATGCTGTCCTTTGTTTAAAATTGATTCCAGGGCAGTTTACATAATATAAGAATAAAGAATCCAATTTTTAAAATATGATTTTCTATTTAAATGATCTTTGAACGTGTTTGGATTTTTGCAGAGGCATATTAGCAATACAAGTTTGACAAGAGTGACAAGTGAAAATGGAAGTGAAAACTTCAGAAGTTCTTATGGCTGCATCAGGGTGGTGGGAGTACATACATTTGGGGCTGTGGCTTTTCTCATGCAGCTAAACTATAGTTTAGCGTGGCACTGACACCAGGCCATGTCTTGAACAACCTTCAGTTTTGATAATGCTTTCTGTTGACAATTTCTAATATAATTATTTGATGACTGATGAAGCATACTAGGTTGTGTAGTATGCACATACACAAACTAATTAACCTTTCTCCAAAAGGTTTTAAACTGCATCTAGGCTCCTATGCTGAGGCGTTAAGTGTGCTAAATTTGTTTTTATTTTAGTTACTATGGCTAAAAGATTTTGCTGTGAAATAGTAAATAATTATTAGAGGGGAAGTGTGTGTGTGTGTGTGTGTGTGCGCGCTTATATATTTCTATATTATTTGTTGTAGGGTGTGAGATTACCACTAAAACCAAAGCAAAATGAATCGGTAATTCAACCGTCAAGCAAGCGGCCAAGGTAAGAGAGTGGCCATTCTCCAACATGTCACATTCTTAGTCTATTAAATAAAGTTATCAAAACTACTGCTAAAACCTCTGGAAATCTCTCTGTCTGGAGTGGCAAACTGCAATCCTAGGGGATGACTGCAGCATTTTGGGCCCCTCTGTCTCAGGACTCTCTCAGCACTTCTCAAACTTGGGTTCCCAGCTGTTGTTGGATTACAACAGCTGAGGACCCAAATTTGGGAAATACTGACTAGTCTATAGGAGTGCCTGGCGTGCTCTGGTCCATGGGATCACGAAGAGTCGGACATGACTAAACGACTAAACAACAACAGGCTATATTGCCTTCCTACTTCTCAACCTTGCTTTGCACCTTCCTTGTGTTCTTTTGCCTGGGTGGAAAGCGCTCTTGAACTATAATGAGGTCTCTTGCTTGCATTGATGGAAGATTGAGAAATTTGTACTGTGTAGAAATCTTTGGGCTGGACCTTTGTGTGTACTTTGCAAAGGTAAGAGTTGCACCTGCTGCTCCACCCACTTTTGCCTCTGGCCCATTCAACACTAGCATGTTGATCTCTGAAGGTCCCCTATGAGGGCCCCTTCATGGCCTGAAAAACGTTCCCCAGCCCTGCTCTATATTATCATTCTGCTGATGATTATTTAGAGAGAGACTTGTCCTTTGGAAAGTGAACAGTTTAGAGGGAGGAGGGAGGGTGCAAACTAAGTCAAAGTATGTAAGAAAACATTAACCTTGAAATAATGCCATACGTAGACGCTTCAGAAATGAAATATTCTACAAAAGATGGCTGCACCAGCTAAATCTAAACAAAAGTTGCATACGGTGTGTTTCTACACACTTCATGGACCTTCTCTACATTTAGATATAAATCATGAAAACAGTATATCAAAATTGTGTTGAATTTTAAATCCAAAAATACCGTATTAACAGTATTTTGTATTAACAGTATTTTGTATTTGTAGAATTGAAGACTTGCCAACTCCTAATAAAAACGTGACATCAGAATTGACACCAGTAGTGCTCTTCACGGGATTTGAGCCTTCCCAGGTGCATCAGTACATCAAGGTGACTTTCCTCTGTCTTAACAGAACAAACACTTTTGTAACATTTTTCTCTACTGAAAGCCCTGCAAAATAATCTAAAACATTTGTCTTGTGATTCTATACCTCTGGTGGCCCATTCATGCAAGCAGGTTACCAGTTGCTACAACAAAACATACATGTATGAAAGCTCTTTTAGATCTACTATATAGTCTTGTACAGAAACCTAAATCATCATAAGAGCCTGCGGGATCAGACCAAAGGCCTATCTCGGGGGTTGCTAATGAGGGGGTACATGTGTCTGTAGAGACCTCTTCTGGCACCCACAGGGTTTCCTCCCCTCACCCGCTCATGCTGAAGTTAGGCTTGAAAGTAGTGTTCTGTTGTAACTCATAAAACAGGTTGCGGTGTGTGTTTAGTCTTGGTGTTGGTATGGTGCCCATGGCAATTTATTTATTTTGCAAATCTATCAAGAGGCCCCCAAAATTTGACAATTGTTTGGCCTATCTGGTTCAGTATTCTGTTCTTTGGTCTAATTTAACAGGTCTCTTCTTTGACTTCTGGTTGCTAGACTATATGGTATATCTAGTGGTAAAGGTAAAAGGACCCCTGACCATTAGGTCCAGTCATGGCCAACTCTGGGGTCGCAGTGCTCATCTTGCTTTATTGGCCAAGGGAGCCGGCGTACAGCTTCCGGGTCATGTGGCCAGCATGACTAAGCCTCTTCTGGTGAACCAGAGCAGCGCACGGAAACGCTGTTTACCTTCCCGCCAGAGCGGTACCTATTGATCTACTTGCACTTTGACATGCTTTCGAACTGCTAGGTTGGCAGGATCAGGTACCGAGCAACGCAAGCTCACTCCATCGCGGGGATTCAAACCGCCGACCTTCTGATCGGCAAGTCCTAGGCTCTGTGGTTTAACCCACAGCGCCACCTGCGTCTCTGTTATCTAGGGGTAGTTTCACACAATTATGTTTGTTGCAGTGCCTGCTAATGTAAAAGCATAAAAGACATCAGAGGTGTGGCATCACAGACATAGGTTTTATCACCTTACAGCAGCCTTTCTCAATCTTGGGTCCCCAGATGTTCCTGAACTATAGCTCCCACCATCCCTGACCAGTGCCCATGCTGGCTAGCTATGATGGGAGTTGTAGTCTGACAACACACAAGGTTGAGAAAGGCTGCCTTACATTGTTTTTCAGTGGAGCTGGTTCATGTGCTTAGTTACTGGTCATCAAATGTATGGTAATTATGTGTATGCTTGTGTGAACTAGGCTTAGTTTATCTTGCTTTTAGTTTGATTGAACTATTATGATGTGGCTGGAGGCTTTAACCTTTTTTTTAAATAAAATTTTCAGAAACTCTACATTCTTGGAGGTGAAGTAGCAGAATCTGCCCAGAAATGCACTCACTTAATAGCGAGTAAAGTGACACGTACTGTAAAATTCCTTACAGCTATTTCAGTTGTAAAGCATATAGTAACCCCAGAATGGTTGGAAGAGTGTTTCAAGGGCCAGAAGTTTATAGGTAAGTAATTCTTAAAGTTTGTCAGTATAAGTGATATAAAGAGTCTGTCCTTTAAAACACAAAAATGAAGCATGCGCAAAATAGTGCCCTTCTTGCTGTTAAGCAGGGGGACAAAACTGAAACAATCAAATCAAAAAATGTTGAAATAGAAGTTTCCCCTGTGACCAGGGGAGTGAGTCAGGTAAGAGGGTTAATGCCCCCCAGCTCTGTGTACTGTATTTTACTTGTAGGTACAGTTTACAAAGCAGTGCTTAATATTTTACAAAATATTATTATTACTACTACTACTATTATTATTATTATTATTACAATTGTTAATTTATTATGCCACCCATCTGACTGGGTTGCCTCAGCCACTTTGGGCGGCTCCCAACATCCACCTTTATGGCTATGCATGTAGAGCTTTAACATCTCTAGTACCATTTTTAATGAGTGGTTTCTTTTTCTAAATTTTCAGTGCTTTTAAAAGTAGTTCCTCTTCACACAGCAATTTTCAAGTGTTAAATTTTTAAACAAATATAAAAATTAAAGCAAGTACTTAACTCCAGCTTCTTATATAGAGTTGTGCTGCTTAATTTAAGGGTCCCAAGCAATTCTTAAAATTAAGCTATTGATTTTTAAAAGAAGACAATCGCTAGCTGCCCCACTGGCATCTTCCTTATTGATGGAACTTACAGTGGGGTAACTGAATTTAAATGCCCAAACTAAAGTAGTAGTATCTGATATGATAGTCTATAAATTCATAAATAATTATTTTTTTCTGATAACAGATTATTTTCTCAGTAGTAGATGCTTGCATCTTTTTGTGTTATGAATAGTTACAGATATATTTTTCCTCCATTTTAGAAGAGCAAAACTACATACTCAGGGATGCAGAAGCTGAAGTTCTTTTCTGTTTCAGCTTAGAAGAATCTCTAAAGAAAGCACAGGAGACACCGCTCTTCAAGGTACATCAGTTTTTAAAAAGCGCTAAATCCAGATTATTTGAACCAAGTGTTTAAACATGAGTGTTACCATCATGTCTGCTAGCCTAGAAAAAAAGTATTTCCAACCACTTGTAACTTTTATTTTGAAATATAAGTAGTTCAGTATAACTAAATGTTGTAGACTGGATTCCACTGAGGCATCACACCAACAGCTTGGTTGTAGCTTCCAAACATTATCATAATTTAGAATCATGCATGTGCTTTCATTTCCCATCTGCTTTATAAGTTTGCTTATAACAGTTTCTGCAAACAGAATGATTACTGTTAACTGCCACCATGATTTGCAAACCCAATTCAAATCATGACTTTGGAATATGGTTTGCTAGCCAATTACAAACTGGTTTATCAGTGCAAAAGTCAGCATAATTTTTCCTTCACCATAATTTGGCAGGTTTTCTGAATTGACTGATTGTCTTTGAGAAGTACTTGGCCTGTAAATGACTTATATTTCTATTTATTTAGAGCCTTAGTACCCCTCTGTTCAGCCAAAAAGTCTCCCAGAGTAGCTTACATACAATCAATTAAAATACGACAGTCCCTGCCTGCAGTCTTACAGTCTAAAAAATGATACTCAAGGGAAAAGGCACAGGGAGGGAAGAAGAAGAAGAAAATCAAACTCTGGCATCAGTTCTTAAACGGTTGTGGAGCTGGTTTTTGTATTTGTAGAAGCAAGAGTAAAACTTTATGTAATTTATAAACTCCCAGCACACGTGGTGTCTGCACCAGCATCCTTTGTTATACTTGTCACTTCAGCTAGTTCCTGACTGTCCTGGAACTTAACATTTTTTATTTCTTATTGGCTTTGGTAGGGGAAGAAATGGGAGCTTATGCATGTCTCCTCCCCCCCTTTCTTCAGTTCCCAAGGACATTGTTCTCTCCTAATAATCTATCTTTCTTCTTTATGTGATTCTTTGCAATCTGGTTTTGACTCTGTGTCCTTTTGGAACTTACTTAATCTTCGATACTGGCAACTATCCACTTCTCTTTTCTTCTTTTAGTTTTCTCAGATCTCCAAAACCTTTGGTTTTATTCCTGCTTCTCAGTCCTTTTCAAGACCACTATTTATTGATACTTAGTTGTTGGTTATTTTTCTCCTCTAGTTCAGAATCTTGACAGTTCTTTTAAATTTTTCTATTTTCCTCTGTACAAGTGATTATCAAGCCTCTTCTATTCAGCTAACAAATCCATAATTTTGTAATTATGGTCTAAAGCTCCGCTCTTTGTTACCCATTGAAACATCATTTTGAGAATGGCAACTAAGGTTTGACATTCATAATTTAAAAGTAATATTTCAAATTATGAAATTGCCAAAAGTCATCCCTTCATGCATTAACTCTTTACAAATAATGGAGAGTATTTATGCCTGACCATTTTAATGCTTTTCCATCTGTAATTTTAAAACATTCCATTTAATGAATGACTGTCCTTGTAGAACAGAAATAATCTGTCAGCCATGTCGTTTTATACTGCACTTTGTGTAGGGAACCCAGAGACAGGCTGATTCTCTTCCTTTGTTAAAAATTATAACTGCAAGATCCACTGAAACTTGGTTATTATTCTGTTTATTGATGCCTCTCTTTATGTTACTGATAAGATAGCTGAGTACTTTCTATTTTAACCAAACATTAGGAAGCAGATGGTAAAGTAAGAACTTGCTGTAGGCTCCTCTGTAAAGATAGTCTTATTTTGCTTGTATCAAACTGCATTTATTTATTTATTCAAAATTCAAAATTGCTTTTAATTATTGTAACATTCTTGTCTCCCCCACCCACCTCTACTTCTAAGTCTTCTACTTGAGTACAGTACATAAAAACTATGGGGTGGGGCTGCCTTGAGATCTTGTAGAAATAGCAAGTCAGAACCTTCTTCCTCCCTTGTAGAAGAAATTAGCAAGGTATCCATGGCGAACATCAGCTTAAGGGGGAAAATGATAACATTAGAGAAGAGGCAGGACAAGGTGAGAAGTTAATATACTACAATATGGAATGCTAATTGACAGGAAGTGGACAGACCACACTGGTACCTTGCTCTGTGACATAGTGGTCAGTGTCATAAATGCAGACATACAAATGTGTTTTGTGTTTCATAAATGTTTTGATTTTAGGGAAAGTACTTCTATATTACACCTGGAATTTGCCCTAGCCTTTCCACTATGAAATCTATTGTGGAATGTGCAGGAGGAAAGGTATTGAACAAACAACCTTCTTTCCGTAAGCTCATGGAACACAAGCAAAACAAAGTGAGTGTGATCTTGATTGATTTTCTAACAACTTTCTGTTTGGAAAATGTGTCCATTTGAGCTGACTCAATTTCACTATTTTTAATGCAGAGCTTATCAGAGATTATTCTGATTTCTTGTGAAAATGATCTTCACTTATGTCGAGAATATTTTGCCAGAGGCATAGGTATGTGTTCTTTATACTTACAACAATGTTTAACAATGCAACATGGCACCAGCACTTTAAGGAAAGAAATGTACCCTAGTTTAATAGTTTGGTTATATATCAAATCCTGGATGTGTGGGCTTGTGGGAGATTTTATACATACAATGGGCTTTTGCTTAGTATTAGAAGAAAACACCTTTTGCTAGGAGTGAGTATCAGGTTCAGATAAATCCCAATGCAAAATGTTGGAGGTAAAACAGAATCTGTCAAACAGGATCAGCATGAATCAAAATGAAGACCCCTGAAAGTTTTATTCCGTTGTGATTCATTATTTGAATCGGTGCTGTTAAATCCAGTGCTCTGTACAGTGGTACCTCAGGTTACAAATGCTTCAGGTTACGTATTTTCAGGTTGCGGACTGTGGGAAACCCAGAAGTACCGGAAACAGATACTTCCAGGTTTCGCCGCATGCGCAGAAGTGCCAAATTGTGTCAGGCACAGATGCAGCGCTGCAGGTAATGCTAAGGGTTGCGGATGTGCCTCCGTTACGGATTACGTCTGCAACCCGAGGTTCCACTGTAATGGAGAATCTAAAAAGGGGGCTATATTTTCCCCCTTTTCACTTGCTGATGAAATTTGCAGGGAAGGGAAACCTACCAGAGTATAAGACTGTGAACTTCAGGAAGATCCATTCAGGCTTCTTTGTCCACAGGACTCTTAAATTTATTTTATTTTTTAGAAGCAGGCGCACCAAGTGGTGGAGCCTGAGGGGTCTTCAGCCCCCCCCCCCAATTTTTCAAGAGGGGGCTGGGCTCCCCCAAAATCCTGTGGCCCGCTCTGCCTCCTCCCTGCCGATGTTGCGCTGGGGGGAGAAGGCTGAGAGCAGAGCCCAGCTCTGCGTTCCCCATTCTCCACCCAGCACACAAGTGCCAGCACCGGCGGGATACCTGTGTGTCTCAACTCGGTGAGTGAGCACTTGTGCACTAGGTGGGGGTGGGACGCTTCACATGATGCGCCCCACAATGTGGGGGGGGGGCAAGTCAGCGCTCGTGGAAGCAGGCAACCTCAGTAGTTTAACTGCTTATACTTTGCCTTTATATGAGGAAAAGTTCTGCTTATTTATTTGAATGTCCCTCTACCTGAATGAAGTGTACTAGGAAATAATCAAAGGGATTGAAATGTCAGGATAAAAGATACCCTTTCACCTGCAAGCTCCCCAGTGAGTTTCGTTTCACTTTTGAGAAAATAAAAGCTGTGTCTGTGTGACATAACAGTTAACTTAATGGAATGACTAGGACCACAGTGCTACTTGGAAGGCTGGCAACTTGCTGATCCACCTCAGCATGTCTTGTTAACAACACAGTCCAACTCAATAATATGAAAGACAACCTTGAATCACCTCAAATCACATTGTTATTCAGGCTGCACACAGTGTACGCCTGTGGTGTATTTATAGCTTTACATTGAAGATGTCAAACTTGGCACTAGCCCAGCTTATGAGTGGCTGCTTCCATGACTTGTCCAGCTCACCAGCTGCAAATGTGCCTCAGTCTGACACAGCTTGCACAGGCCTGTTCCTGGCACCCAACTGCCAAGTATCCCTTATGCACACTGCCTCTTAATCAAAATCTCAGTCTCCTCGAACATTGATGTTTTAAGGACACACACAGTGCCAGCTTCATAGTTACCTTGAATAAGTGCTGCCTCTGTCTTTCTTACTTTCAACTGGCAACTCCACAATCCAAGTCCTTTCAGTCAAAACATAAATGTTAAAAGTTCAGTAGTTGCAATTAATTTACCATGGATGTCTTGATTAAGTTTTATGTTTCCCCCCCTGTATTTGCAGATGTTCACAATGCAGAGTTTGTTTTGACTGGCGTTCTTACTCAGACACTGGATTATGAATCATATCCTTCATATGCTATATAAAATATGATTGTGTTTTCTGTATTCTATCCTCCCTTAAAGGGAACAGCTGGCAAAGTTCACATAATTTATTAGCCATATATAGAGTTTCTAACTAATGAATGAATGTAGATAATTGGAATTCAGGTAAGCTGGTATCACCTTTTACCACGGCATGTTTTATTGCTCTCACAGGCTCATTTAAGTACAGGTTAATAGTTTTCACCTGTGTTTGCAAAAATACTTGCTGGTTTTTACAGGAAGTTAGAATTGTTTGCTAGGATTCCCTGAAATTAAGGGCACATGCTTTAATCTTTTGTTGTGGCTGTCCCTTTAATAATGTCTTAATGATTTATTCTAAAATATGCTGTCTCTATAAAAAAAAAAAGGAATTAACATTTGAATTAAATGTTGAAACACATATATTCTAATCAAAGTATAGCCTGAAAAATACACATCACAGTGTTTTGTTGTTGAGTGCATATTTACCTTAGAAATCTGTAAAACCATGTTGATGCATTAGTCTTAAGAAACAGATTCTCTCTCTCCTTATGTTATCCTTTTCTTGTACCAAAAAACCGATTATGGCAATCTGCACATTTCAGCATAGCTTTTTCCTTAACCCAAGTGTACATATAAATTCACTTGACTGGAAGTGAAAATGCCTTATTGCTGTAGACTTCTTGAATCCTTCCTTCCTTCCAGCTTTTTCAGCCTGTGGATCAGTTGGCACTTCTGGAGTTCTTGTCCCCTTCCTCCCTTGTTTTGCTGAAGGCCAATGAGCAGTTTGAGGCAGGAGAGCAAACGTTAATTGCATCTGTTTAAGATGTGCAGCATTTTATTATTAAAACATAATTAACTATGTTCTTTGTATTATATTAGAGAGAGGTTACTTTTTATATCACAAATTAGTTTTCCTAATTTTTTTTAGTTGTCACAACTGTTGGTACTTAACCACACAAAATTGGAATGTAAAGAGAAAGGGCTTGTGGTATGTAAATTATGGAAATAAAGTATTTTGTATTTTATTTTATTAAGCTCTGTTTCTTTTATATTACTAATATCCTGGTTTTTGTATAAATATACTTTTAAATGATGTTTCTTTAAGATTTCGTAGTGGCTCCTTTCCTCTTCTTTTAAATATTGTGCAATTATGGCACTATGGTAAGAGTAAATTACTCTAAATCATTCTTTCAAATGCTGTAAGATAATCTTCCCTTTATTTTACAAGGTATGTTTTAATATTAAAAACCAAGTATTTTAAGCAGAATTTATTGTTAATGTTTTGTGTATTTCTACTGAAGTTAGGTTGAACTCATTCATATCCGCTGTTATAATTTTTCTTGAAATAATTTTTAATGAAATAAATATGCAAGAAATGAATTCACAGAACTAAACTCACTGAAGGTGAATTACATTTGCAAAATTATATTGTACATAATGGAACTAATTATAAATTGAGTATATGTTATTTAAAAACTAGTATCAAACTACTGTTTCAGCAAGAACAATGTCTGGTAAGGTGCAGCCAGTTCCCAAAGATTCTTTTAAAAAGTACAATTCCTTCCATGGATTATCTATGGATCCAATAACAAATCTCCATTCAGTGATTTTGAGGATTTCAATAATTTGGGTTTGGCAGTTACTACAGAATTCTTTAATTTATATAGGTTGAAATAATTAGCATTTGTCTCACCTGACAGCATGCCATGTTTTGTGCATTTGTGTTTCTGAAAATGAAGGGCCATATGTGACAAAAAAAGAACACATGATTTATGTGGAGCAGCTGCAGGTATAAATTCTGATGGTTTAATGTTTAAACATGGCAGGTGGGACACAGAACACTGACAGACTTGCAATGCACTTTGAAGACACTGCACTAAATGTTAGCGGAAGTTAGTTTATCTTTTCTCACACACTACATTTTTGCAAGGTTTAGCAAGTACATGCTTTAGCCAACATCTCTTTGTTCATAACTGCCTTTTAAAGAAACCTCTTCACTGCTGAAACTTGGCAACTAGATCAATGTACCTTTTTTAGACGTCACTGGCACCATAACTTTTGAAGGTGTTTGTACTTGTGTTCTCACACTGGAAAGTAGCACAGCCAGAACAGAAAGTACAGCAGGTCCACCATCAAGGCATTGGAAATGATTTATAGGAAAAGCATATGGAAATACCTGCTGTCCTTAAAATGAACATGCTTTCCATGTGGCTTTCAGTGATGGTTGCCTCTTCTGCAGCATCTGTGTGTCATATTTCTTGCCTGTAAAACATTTACCACATTTATGTTCTGTATAATTGCTACACTGAATATTTTATGTATGTTCATTCTTATAAAAGAGTTTTGGAACACGGCATAAAACCATGTCATTTTTCAGATTCAAAAAGCATGTGAACCTGTTCAGTGCTAAACATCTGGTAGGAACCCACCTTTCTCACTCGGTTTAAGAATTAGTAAAATGTTCACTGTAAAATGGCCATCAGGTAGGTGAAATGTATACAGAACTCAGGCCTTTAAATTTCAGGAATCGGGGTGGGAAAGCAGGTAGTCAAAACGTCCACCACTTGGAATTCCTAAACATGTTGCTGCAACCGCTGTTTCTAGGGGAGCCCCCCCCCCTTGGGCACCTGCCAATGCACTGGACTTATTTTGTCACACAATTCAGTAAGGGCCACTGAGAACCTAAGAGCCTTTATCTCTTCCCCATCTTTCATCTAATCCACATGGCCCTGTGCCACCTTTCTCATGCTACAGTACGAGGAGATTTTTAAAGGTTGTAATGGGCAAAAACCGAAATCACCACAGCATTCATGGAGCTTCCAGTCTACACTTTCAACAAATCTGCTCCACTTCCCAGTGGGGAGGGTTAGGACCGCATGGCTACCCACTCCCCACTGGGGGGGGGGCGTGGCCGGGACCGTTTAAATCAGAGGCACAAGCCGGAAGGCTTCCTCTTTGGCTCGCTTCCTCGATCACCCGCCCTCCCTATTTTGCAGGTTTAGGCACTGGCCTTGCTATGGACCTCGGTTGGTCGCCGTTGAGGGGCCTGGTAGGAATTTTTCCACTTGGCAAACTGGCACTGGCCATGTGGTTTTCGCCTACCTCGTAGCAATCGTCACAACTTTGTTAGGGTTGCGGTTAGGCATTGTTTGACCTTGTGATGGGGGAGGGGAGGTGTGGCCATCACCTACCCCTCCAAGCTTAAGGGTATTCCATTAAAGGAATCCAGGGGTGTTGATCTTGTCCAAAGCCCAGGTCGGGGGCTAGAGCCATGACACGACCCCGACAGGAACACCAGGGGGAGCTCGAGTTGGTATGCATTGGGTTCCCCCTTCCGGTGGTTTACCCTTACCAGACTTCCTGCGCATTGGGCAGGAGTCCGATATAGTCGGGTCCATTCAATGCCTAAGCCAATACCGCTCACATTCTGTAATCAATAAAGTTGTGGCCAAATTTGCCCAATAACATAAACCTAATATCCGTGTCCTTGTGTGTGTTATTTCCCAATGGGGGGGGTGGCTATGGGGTCTTGACACACAACTCTTGTTCCGTTCTCAACGTTACCAGGACAGCATTCCATGCAGGACGTAGCAGCTATGCTACAAAGGTAGCACTTGATACAGACCGTTCTCAACAAATACAGTTACTCCTTGTACTAGCACAGGGGTCAGCTTTTTCAGCAGGGGGCCGGTCCACTGTCCCTCAGACCTTGTGGGGGGCCGGACTATATTTTGAAGGAAAAAAATGAACGAATTCCTATGCCCCACAAATAACCCAAAGATGCTTTTTAAATAAAGCACACATTCGACTCATGTAAAAACACTGATTCCAGGGCTGTCACGGGCCAGATTGAGAAGGCGATTGGGCCGTATCCGGCCCTTGGGCCTTAGTTTGCGTACCCATGTACTGGCACCTTCAGCATCAGCTCATCAACTTTCACTTGCCTTCGTCTTTTCCTCTGAAAGTGGAAATAAGAAACCCCCGTCATCATGCACTGTCCCCTTCTTTCAGCTGAAGCCCAGTGCCATAAGGAACTGCCATAAGGAATCTAGTGCCATAAGGAATCTAGGGAAGATCCCAGAGGGGCAGACACTGCCCTCTCCCAGGACTTGTGATATATTACATCAGGCTGCCTTAGATCTTTAGATCTTCATATGAATCTTGAGGAAGCTATCTGTTAACACATTGTACACCAGTAAACCAACATTCATCTCAGTTGCAGTATTGAGTCTGCTAATGCTTTTATGGGTTGCTAATGAGAAAATGTGAACCACAGTTGAATGACCAAATTAACATAATGGAGAACTAATAATGTATTGCCAATTGCTTTGCTTGCACAAATAAAGGTTCCTTATCAGAAGAGCCTGCTGGATCAGGCCAATAGCCCATCTAGTCCAGCATCCTGTTGTCACAGTGGCCACCAGATTCCTGTAGGAAACCCACAAACACGGCCTGAGCTCAAGAACATTCTCCCTTCCCTTGGCTTTCAGCAGTTGGTATTGGGAAGATTTACTGCCTCGAGCTGTTGGAGGTAGAGCAGAGTCATTGTGGCTAGTAACCACCAATAGCTATGAATTTGTCTAATCTTTTAAAGCTGTGAAGTCCTTAATCTCAGGGCTGTGGGTTCAAGCCCCATGTTGAGTGAAAGATTCCTGCATAGCAGAGGGTTGGGCTAGACGATCCTTGTGGTCCCTTCCAATTCTATTATTTATTAAGTTGGTGGCCATCACTGCCTCCTGGGAGAGTTGAGTTCCATATTTTGACTATGTGCTCCATGTAGAAGTACCGGTACTTCATTTTAACTATCCTTGGTTTTGCATCTAGTAGATCTTGAGCACAAAACCCATGGAACATATTTTCCTTTTTAAAGAGCAGATTACATATAAAATTACTTACCTGATACATGGCCACCATAATAATTTGCACGCTGTTTTGCCCAGAGCCTGCTCACAAAATGCTTCAGGGAGGCTAACTTTGCCCTTGCAGCCAGGTTTTCCTATGAATATAGATTTAAAATGCACAATTAGTTGCTCATGAAATCCACTTAAATTAATTGATGTAGGTAGAAGTGTGATATTTAAGAAATTACAAGTGGATTTAGGCTCTCTCGTTCAGCGGTAGAGCTCATCCTTTGCATATAGGTCTCGGCTTCAGTTCCCAACTTCTCCAGGTAGGGAAAGAGTGGCTGCAGTCTGAAACCCTTTAGTTTTGGAGCAATGGTCTTTCTGATACAACTGGACTTCCAATGTCACCATTCCAGGCCAGTATGGCCAGTGGTCAGGTGCTAGGTGAGTTTTGGCCCAATATTTGACAGGCCAAACGTTCCCAATCTCTGGCACAGCCATTACAGAGCTGGATGTACAAATGGTCTGACTCAGAATACATAAAACATTACATAGAAAAAAGCAACAGAAATATGAACAGTCTTTCGAGTTGTGTCAGTTAAGATGGCTTCAATTCAGAACAAAGTAGCCTAACAGAGTTGATGGGCGCATAAAATCAGCACCAGCCTCCACCACCTGAAGTGGCTTAACGGTGACATGCAAAACAGTTCACAAGGGACAAAAAAATACAGGAGACAGAGACTATGCCCTTAATACTGCTCTCAAGGGATTTCAATCACCACCACGCCAGGTATGCTGGTGCAACTATTACCTTTCAGCAGGAGAGTAAGCAGTTCAAGGAAAAGCAACAAATGCTCAGTCTTCCCCACTCAGAATGCCAGTTCTCCTCTATATTGTAATTCCAATTTCTCCACGTGCCCTTCCTTATGCAGCTAAGAAGAGCAACAGACACATGTAAGAGAGAGGTTTCAGCAGCCTTGAAGACACCAAGGTTTGCAGAAGGACAAAGTAGTCTTTAGAGGAGCGGGGACTCCAAGAGGGGACCCCAAAACAGCTCAGTGAGAACTGAGCCTAGTTTGCATGCTGAGCAATGCTGCGGAGGGAAGGGAGGGGGGAGCAATGTGAGCTTTCTAGAGAACCAGATGAAATGCAGGACCTGCCGGGGGGTGGCGGGCTACTAAAATTTTAATCGGAACCAAATGGTATGGGTTGAGGGACTATTTTCTGCAGGTCCCAAGTAGTCTAGGAAGAGATGAATACCTGAATGACTGCTGCAAAGGCCAAATCTGAGGGGCAAAGTTGTCTTATTGGCAGGTGGAATTGACGAAAAGGTCTTCAAGCTATTGCAGAAACCACTGGGTAGCTCGGTTAAAGTGTGGAGCTGATAACGCCAGGTTCACAGGTTCAGTCCCCATAGGGGACAGCTGCATGTCTTACTCCTGCATTGCAGGGAGTTAGACAGATGGCTCTCAGGGTCTCCTTCTAACTATGATTCCATGAAACTTGCCCATGATAGAGGAAAGTGTGAAACAGTGGGCAGAATGTGCATCCATCTCCATCTCTCTCTTGCCTCAGGATCACAGGAGCAGCCATCTATTTTGGTCCCAGGTGGGAATGAATTTGTTGTTGATGATGATTATCATGATGACGACGACATTATGCTCATCTGACTGGATTGTCCCAGCCACTTCGGGCGGCTCCCAACAAATTTAAACATTAAATCAAAATAAAACCTGCCTACTTGCAATGAGTAACAAAAAACACACAAATTTGTCCTTTGCCGCCATCTTGTGTTGGGCTATTGAATAACTCCCAATTATTTGAAGTTTGATATACTGTATTCATCAACCTAGGTGGAATCTACACGGGACGACAGAGGACGAGATGGTTGGACAGAGTTCTTGAAGCTACAAACATGAGTCTGACCAAACTGCGGGAGGCAGTGGAAGACAGAAGTGCCTGGCGTGCTCTGGTCCATGGGGTCACGAAGAGTCGGACACGACTAAACGACTAAACAACAACAACAGGTGGAATCTACACACGTTTAAAACTTTCTCTTGTTGTGAAAATGTTTTTCCAAATCACTTTGAAAAAAAAACATTTTCTAACAGAAATTTTAAACGTGTGGAAATTCCACCTATTCATTGTTTGTCGTTAATCCATGACTTTATGAATTCACAGGATTCAGTCCCATAGGGGGACAGCTGCATGTCTTGCTCCACATTGGGAGTTGGGCAGATGGCTCTCAGGATTCTCCGCTATGCCAGTTCCATGAGCACTTTTAGTAGAGAGGAGTGGCCAGAGCAGTGGGCAGGGGATGTGCATCCATCTCCATCCTCTCTTGCCTCAGGATTTGGGAGTGCCAGTCAGAGCAGCCCATCTATTTGATTTGGTGTTGAGAGGGCCAGATTTTGATGAGTGTGGGGGTGGTTGTCGCGGTGGCGGCGACACATTATGCCTCATCTGACTACAGTTGTCCCAGCCGCTTCCTTCGCGGGCCTTAGAGCGCGTTCATCAAAAAAATGTCTAAGCGCTCAACGCACTTACTTGCCTGCGCGCACGTGGTGGCAAAAACACACAAAAATTTGTCTTGTAACTGTACACATTATTTGGGCTGGCCAGGCCAGCCACGGGTAGAGTGCCTTGATTCATGTCAGCTTCGTGCATCTCCCAGGGACGGGAAGGCGGGGCCTGCCCAGCGGCGCCCGGATTGGGTTTGGACAGAGTTCTTGGCTTCCTAGCAGAAGAGCATAAGGAATTGTGACCAAACTGCGGGAGGCAGTGGAAGACAGAAGTGCCTGGCGTGCTCTGGTCCATGGGGTCACGAAGAGTCGGACACGACTAAACGACTAAACAACAACAACAGGTGGAATCTACACACGTTTAAAACTTTCTCTTGTTGTGAAAATGTTTTTTTTTTCCAAATCACTTTGAAAAATGCATTGAATTTGCTATAGCTCCAAGTCACCATCTAGTATCACAGTTGTATATTGAACTTTACAACACTTTCAAAACGTTTTATTTGCAGTTGTATAGCTGAGTCTCTAGTTTGAATATTTCCTAACTTCACTGTTTTATATTAATATTTGATTAATATTTGATTTTGACATTAGAAATGGTACTGTACAATAGCAAACAATGTACTTTTTGTTATAGAGAAATGGTGCATAATTTCATATACAATTAAAGGGTAAATATTTTACACCTTTTAAATAACATTTAATGAACTCTGATTTTATTTGATATCTGATATTCATAGGTATTTTGCTTTGGTTTTTGATAGTTTGCATAAGCAGGGTAAATATTATGGTGTCATCCATCACACAGTAATAAGTACTGGACATCATAGCATGCCAAGTATCAAAGATATGAAATAATATTCAGCATTTACTACAATTTGATCACTGTTGCATCATAATACTTTCTGTATTGACAATATTTGAGAGACTGAACACAGTATTGTTCAGTAGCTAATGATACTGAAAGCTAGCATTCAATAGTGTCTAGCGACTTACCAACAACATGCACTGTCGTTTTTGAGGTAAAATATCATGTTCAAATTTCTACTGCAATACAATAACTATATATTAGTTGTGGCCATAAAACTTGAGAAAATAGACTTGCCATTTAAGATAAGAACAAAAATGATTAAAACATATTGAAATAGCACTTAATTTCTGCTTACTCAAATTTCAAACAGTTTCCAACAGGTATCTGGTTGGCCACTGTGAAATTCAGAATTTCGCAAAATTAGAAATTTTGTCACATTTCAAAAGTTTGCAATTTATTTATTTATTTTTGGTTCCAGGTGTGGTTTGTTTATTCCCTGACACAAATATGAAATGTACCAAAAAAGAGGTACAATGATTATTAATATCACATCTCAAACACCTCCTTGTTTTTAAGAATGGCTGATGCATCACTGTTTTTCAAATGTTCTTCATTGCTAGGGCTGTTTAAAAATATCAAAGTCCTTTTGTGTTATGATTGCTGTGCCAGATGCAGTCTTCCTGTGGTTTTACTATTTTCCTGTTTCTTCTGTGGTCCTGCATTAACATTGACAGTTTTGTCAGGCTCACACCAGTAAAACCACCGCAACCTTAAAGCCAGATTTCTTAGAGAGTCTTCATATTAAAATTCCTCTTGTCATTCCATATTTTTGTCATTCCGTCAACAGCTTTGTGCAGCGCTAGTGGCTTAAGCTGGCTGCTTCCCAAGAGATCAAGACAGAGGACATTGGTAAAACAAACACCCCCCATGCCCTACTTCTTAAAACCATTCATATGACAGGGAGGGATTTGATTCCATTAATAATAATAAAAACTGGCCAAGTTTAACTTGTTTGCCAACTTAAAAGAGAGACCCCAAACTATATACACCTTTCTCTTCAGATATTTGCCATCCAAATATTTGGAGTGGGGGGTGGGGTGGGAGTTTATATTGAAAGGCAACTCAATATCTTAGAAATATAATTATTCCTAGGATATTTCCAAATTAAAGTCTGTGCGAAGCCAGGACGATCCTTTCACTGTTTTTCAAAGGCACCCTCCTCCCCAGATGAGGTCGCCTCCTGCAAATAGGGAAATATAAAGCACCATTCCACTTGCCAAAAGGTCATGTATCAGGGTATGCATAGCCATCTGTGGCGTTTGCCCGCTCGTTTAGAAAATGTCTGTACAGGGGGGAGAGAAAGGGTTAAAATGTAGACCAATAGGAAAGCCGGAGGCGGAGCCTACCTGTTTATAAAAGGGCTTAGCCCGAGGTTTGAGTTAGTTGTTGGTGGTTAGTTGGTTGGTTTAGTGGGTTGGTTGGGAAAGGCAGTTGGAAATGCAGTTGGAATTAGAGAGACAGTTGGTGCAGTTGGTTCTTGTGTAAGGGGAGGTAGAAGAGTTAGAGACAGGATAAAAATAAGACTAAGAAGGTAAAGAGTAACAACGTTTTGAATGCAGTTAAAGTTTATTTGTGTCTGTAATAAACTACACTCTTCTTTGTTAACTTGAGAACCTGACTGAGACTAAGTGATTTACTGGGGAGGACCTGGTTGGTGGCAGCGGATTAGTGGTGTACGGGTCAATAGTCCGTGAGACGACTGGGACCTCTGTACAAACGCCACACCACCCTTTCTAAGCTTGTCACTGATGACCTCCCACCAAGGGGTGAAGGAGCTCTCCTTGCACTTTTGCATCTGATCTAGGATTTAGGGGTGTGTGATCAGGGTGCACGCACTGGGGCGCTGAGCCGAGAGGGCACCGCCTTAAAGCCCGGTAAGTGAGACACCAGGCTTGGGGAACGAGGCATGAGGGCCTGACAGGGTCCTAAAGTCCTCCTGCCTCCTTCCCAAAACCTAGGGAGGATCTACACTCACGTTTTTTAACTCTAAAAAAGAGAGATCAGGAATGGTTCTGATAACCATATAGCCATGTGACGTTCATTTTTAATGTTGATAATGTGTTACTAAAATGTGGTGCCAGAGGGCGTTGCAGAGCAACACCCCCCCTTCCAAAAACCAGGTAGACTTTGTGGAATGGGACTTTTTCTGTCTTGATGTTTTGGAATGGTATTTTTAACATCGTTCTGATAAAAGGTTGCGTGTGCATCCAGCCCTCGTTAGCACTTTTCCAGCTTTGGGAAGGAGGAAGGAGGGCTCTAGGACGCTGCCAGGGCCTCACACCTCCTTACCAAAGCTGGGTACCTCCTTATCCGCCCTTTTGAAGTGTGTTGGGGGAAGGGGGTTGATTGGGTTATTTTTGTTTTTATTTTTTATGTATTTTGTGTTATAATCACCTCAAGATTTGTGGGTATAGGGCAGTATACTAACTAACTAACTAACTAACTAACTAGCTAGCTAACTATTTAACTAATTTGGGAAAGCAGCAGGAGGGCTGGGGAGGGCACCACATTTTGGCTTCACGCAGGATGCCTCACACAGCATGCCATGGTATCCAAGTCAGCCACTGACTGTATGCTGCCCACTAGGTTAATATCAATTTACCATTTTGTCCACTTTCTCTTTGATTTTCTTTGCTACTTTGGGGGAACTTCAAACAGAGCTTGTTCCCCTTTGGTGTGGGGTGAGTTACAGCAAAAGTGTTTTTGGAACAAAATCTTAAATGTATTTAGGAAAGAGAATTCTTTTAAAAAAACAACGATGGCCCACATTTTCCGCTAGGGGGAGTGATGCCTGCATTCAGAGAGACACAACGAAACATCAAAACTGGGACTGCAGCAACACTCAGTGAATTGATAGCATTACAAATTGCTCCTCGGTTTAAGAAGCTTCCAGTTAGCCTTTGCAGTTTTTTTTTTACAAGGCGCATCTTGCATCTAAAATGGAGCTGAAGAGAGACCCTGTGTGTACAAGACTGATGGAATAAAGCTTTGTGATGGAACTGAAAGCCTCCTTATCTCAGCTGGAGTTGGCACTAGTCATTATATCCATAAAAATCACCCTTCAGCATCCGACGTCTTGATGAAGTGCTCTCTGCCCACCCTGCTGGAGCTGACACAGAGCTTGGAAGCTGCAGGGTCACAGAGAGCGGAAGCAAAGGTGGCCATGTGCAAACAGTGGCACACATGCAGACAGAGCCCCAGTTATTTTTTAATTAGGACTGTAGCGATGTCATCATTAGAAGCCAGACTGTCAGACGTTCAGAAGAAGCAACAATGCCTTTCTGTGTAGGCCAGGGAAAGGGGAGAGGAGGAATGAGCATCCTAGGTAGTATGGTGTAGTGGTTAAAGTGCAGGCCTTAGAGCAGGGTGATCTGGGTACAAATCCTTGATCAGCCACAATGCACTCTCTCTCAGTCTAACTCACTTTGAAAGGCTGCTTTGAGCTCCTTGGACAAAGGATGAGATAAAAACGCAAATAATAATTAAGTCTCTGACCTGGCATATTTCCCCTCTTCAGTATGCAACGGTTTTGCAAAAGTGGATCTTGATTAGCTGTACTAAACTAAGCGATACTTCATCCTTTCCTAGGAAGCTGCCTTGTTCCAGGTCAGACCATTTGTCCATCTGGCCCAGACCTGCTTACTCATGACTAAGCAGAGAGGCCTCACCCACCATCACCTGCTACCCGACCCATACAATTTTATTTCATAGTATTGTAGAGGAATCCCCAGGGTCATCTAGTCCAACCCCCTGCAATTATCTTCCACTTCTCCTCCAAGGAACTCAGAGTGACATGCATGATTCTGCCCATCCCACTTATTTATTATTATTATTTATTATTGCTAATATTATTAATTGAATGTATATACCGGCCTATGGACGCGGGTGGCACTGTGGGTTAAACCACAGAGCCTAGGACTTGCCGATCAGAAGGTCGGCGGTTCGAATCCCTGCGATGGGGTGAGCTGCTCCTGCCAACCTAGCAGTTTGAAAGCACGTCAAAGTTCAAGTAGATAAATAGGTACTGCTCCGGCGGGAAGGTAAACGGCGTTTCCGTGCGCTGCTCAGGTTCACCAGAAGCGGCTTAGTCATGCTGGCCACATGATCCGGAAGCTATACGCTGGCTCCCTCGGCCAATAAAGCAAGATGAGCGCCCCAACCCCAGAGTCGTCCATGACTGGACCTAACAGTCAGGGGTCCCTTTACCTTTACCTTATACCGCCCTATACCTGCAGGTCTGAGGGTGGTCCACAGAGTAACAACCCTGTGAGGTAGGTTAGGCTGAATGACTGTGGCTTGCCCAAGGTCACCCACTGAGCAGCATGGCTGAGCAAGGATTTGAGCCCTGGTCTCAGGTCCTGGGGTCCTGCTGGCCTGGAAGGATCTCCTGCTCTGATCCAGCCGGGCTGGTTTTCTATAAAGCCGAATGTCCCTTTGCTTGCAGTACCTGGGAAGAGTCTCTTCCCTTTTCCACCTGCCTTGACTGTTGTGTTAACTGTCATGCTGTGTTAATGAGCTGGTTTGTTACATATTTTAATTATGGATGCTTTAATGTAGGCGTTCTCCTCTGTATTTTAATTAAAGGTCTATGAGAACCTCAGAAACAGAAAATGAAAACCATACAGGTTTTTTTAAGTTTGGTAGAAAAGAGCCTGGACAACTGTTTGAGTGTTTATGAGTTTTCTGTCCATGCTGTCTTCTTTCCAAGATGAGTGGCACAGATCCAGGACCGATTCTTGTATGTTGCCAGCACAGACTCAGGTTGTGATGACTGCCTGCACAGTGGAGATCTCTCTGCTTCACAACCTGACCCCTTCCATCATACTCTTCTATGTCCAACTATAGGCAATGCTTCTAAGTGGTGGTGGTGGGCTATATCATTAACTCATCGCTGTGGGTCTTTGCTTCAGACAGTTGCTTATGCAACTTCACCAGCTGGAGACACAGAGCTGTGGTTTCTGTGGTCAGTCCCTTAGGTGCAGACAATTTAGAGGCCACCTCAGCCCCCTCCCCCGTGGTTAGAAACCTAACCACACTTCTAGCCTTGTGGTTTAGGGTCTTCTCTGGAGTAGGTCTAATATAATTCTGCCGTGTCTTTCTCTGCTCAAGTGCTGTGAAACGCGACTCTTGGTCTTTGATCACCGGTGCAACATCCGTGTGTCAGAGATAATTCAACCAACTTTGGATTTGCATTGCTGCTTAGACAATATACTCAAGCAGGCAATTTCGTTAGCTAGCTGTGAGTGCACTGGATAATTTCATTAGCTTGATATGCGTGGTTACTTCTTCATTTCCTTCATGTGGTAATTGTTGCCTACTTTTCCTTGGATAGTTTCCTTCGCAGCGTTATCATTAACGTTGGTTCCAGTTATTCTGAAGGAACATTCCCCTCCTCCCGCAACTTATTATTATGTGATGCATTCCACTCCCTACTGTCTTCTGAGTAAAATTAGTGCCATTCAGCTGTTTAGTTATAAATACCATTCACATCCTGGTACAGGTAGTTTAGTTTTGCCGAATCAATTTTCTGGACCTGAGAGAGTCACTGTGCAGACCACAAAGTGTCAAGTGACCACAACACTTTTGCTAGATATACAGACTGATTCACAGCCAAGATAATCAAAGTATTTGTAGACACGAGCAGATGCAACTGATTTTGGACTAGCCAACGGTTTATGTGTCTGGACTAATAGGCCAGCTCGTGTTGGAATCTAGATTGATCCTTCTAACATTTTCTAAATATATATAAACTGCTACCAGCATGAGTTGGACCAAACTGCGGGAGGCAGTGGAAGACAGGAGTGCCTGGGGTGCTCTGGTCTATGGGGTCACGAAGAGTCGGACACGACTAAACAACAATATAAACTGCAAATTATTTCATTCTAAACTCTCACCTGTTATGTTTCTGCTCATTCCTCCTTCTCTAGGCACAATTTGCCCTGTGGTGTACCTTGACTCTTAGCTAAACACATATTCCTCTAATATGCGTGTTAGCACAGGAGTATATGGATAAGGAAACAAATGGCAATCCTTGTCTCACTGGCCATTGCCAGCCACTTGAAAGTCCCACACTGCTCCAGGATGACTGCAAATCTGCAAGATGTTATTTTGTGGAGGCAGGTTCAAGAAACTTGTGCCTATTCTACCCAAAGGCTACTGCATGCCTTTTGGGGAGCACCGATGAATTGGCCTTATGCACAATTTGCCTTTGCCTAGTTTAGCCGCCTAGAAATGAAATGGAACAAAGCAG